TTCGTTGAGTACAGTAGAAACAACCACATCAACACCAAAAGCAGAAACAACAACATCAACAAAGGAAAAATCAACCGTCTTGTCGAGTACGCCAGAAAGAAGCACAGCAACATTGCCAACAACAGACAAAACAACAACGCTAGAAAAAACATCTACAAAATCGCAGACAGCATCAAGCACAGTAAAACAGGAAGGGACTACTCCAACAGCAACAACGACCACTAAATCTACATCAGTAACAACGCCAGAGACAACGACAGAATTTGCCCAAGGTAATATCACATCTGTATTAGGAATAGAACAGACAAGAAAATTAAACACTTGCATGCATATTGACTAGCAGTGAGAACGGATGACCTATACATTCATGAGAATAAGATAGCTGTAAATGAAAACTTCCAATATTCAATGGCAATTGTTTTGTCATCATTTTATTTCTAACAAAGAAAACAAATGTAATAATACCAACCATTTCGTTGAGTACAGTAGAAACAACCACATCAATACCAAAAGCAGAAACAACAACATCTGCAGAGAGAAAATCCACCATCTTGTCGAGTACGTCACAAAGAAGCACAGCAGCATTGCCAACAACAGACACAACAACAACAACACCAAAAGCAGAAACAACAACATCAGCAGAGAGAAAATCAACCATCTTGTCGAGTAAGTCAGAAAGAGACGCAACAACAATAACACAAAGAAGAACATCTACAAATTCAGGGACAGTGACACCGATTCCAACAACCGTCTTGTCAAGCACAGTAACTCTGGAAGGAACTACAGTTCCAACAACAACAGCTACTAAACCTACAACAGTAATAACACCAGGTAATACCACGTGCCACGCATTAAGAAGTGAACAAATAACTAAGCAACACGCTTGCATAGATATTAATTAGTTATAAACCGAATGACCTATAAATTCTTAAGAATAAGATAGCTGAAAAGGAAACCTTCCAACAGCAAATTACAGATGTTATCATTTTAATGCTAACCGTCGATAGATTGGTAGATGCAATCGACACTTGCTAACAGTTCATCCACATAACATGTAATATGATGACTACTTTACTACTGATTTTCCAAAATTGCAGCTGAAACAACAACAGAGGATGTATGCACCCCATACTGGACAGAATTCTTCAACGAGAACACGCCAACTCATGGACAAAATGGATACGAATTGGAAACACCGTCATTCCTTCAAACACTGTATGTCATATGCAAGGACAACCGACCGATTGTAGATGTTCAATGCCTGGATGCCATTACCAACATACCTTACAATGAAACAGGTATATAAGAACCATTCTTACACCCTTGGCATTGTCTATTCTGTGTACCAAAATTCTGATTTGTCTATACTGTCCTAAGTTAGTTTTAACCTAAAATGATATCTACATTTACTAACCTCTTCAATTTAGCAAAAGAGTGCACTAAGTTAAAATCATATACGTATGATTATTTTGTACATGAAGCACTCTGATTTAACGTACCTCCTTTCCACATTGTATGCAACCTCTACTACTATCAACTAACTGGTTGGATTCTTTATGTTACCTTATGATTAATTGCACACTTGTATATAGTGATTATTTTCTTCTTATTTATTATTGTATTTTATCCTCAGTTACTTTGTTTGTATTTTACTATGTTGGGGTTTACCCCCCAGGTATCATTGAAAAACGCCGACAAGGCGATATGTATCACCTGGATAAATAAATGAAATGAAATGAAATGAACAAAATGTGCTGACTTAATGCTTACAGCGATAATTCTTAAGGTTACTGCTGACTATATTGTCCACAAAACATAAAGTAAATGATTTAGAGATATTACTGGTACAACAAAACAAAGACGAAACAGTTTTAAAACTTACTACTGTTTGAATACCTAGGTGATGTTGCAACGTGTACAACAGAGCACGGTTTGGTATGTCTCAACAGCGGAAACGTATTCACTGACGACGAGCAGTGTGAAGATTATAAAGTTCGCTTTCTCTGTGGGTGTAAGGATGAAGGTTGGTACCACTGCATTTAGTGGCATTTCCCTACGGCACTAAGAAAAGGACGTTGGGGACGTTCTACCATAGAAATGTAAACGAAATATACACAGTAAATTTTCAATTTCTCTGCTCATTACCATGTGGCTTTTTCAAGAGTAATTCGCAAAATAAGGCCCCGTTTGATGAATCATATATTCACTGAACAGCAATATTATTAATCGTATCACATTTTGTCTATAAACGTGTGCAGAATCATCATGCAAAGACAAGCCTACTACAAATTTTCTAGTAAAACCACACGAAATAGATATTTGTGGGTCAAAAGACAATCGTGTTGATCTGCTTATCGTGTTGATTGGTTAGTCACTGCAATGAATTTAGGATGAATGAAGTTACGTAAATTGTACCTCTTAAACTTTTTTCACTAAAACTACAAGCAGTCGTTTACAGATAAGAAGTATTCAGTCACGTAAACCAACTTATATAATAATATTTTTAATGACCTTAATGCCATCAGTGACAACAGAGCCTCCCACGACAACAGAACGCTGCGAGTACTGGACACAGTACTTTAACGAAAGCACACCAACTCAAGGCGAGAATGGATTGGAGACTGAAACTTTGCAAGACCTCAGGGAAAAGTACATGATCTGTCACAATAGGCTCATCACAGGCATCGAATGTGTGAATGGTAGTGGCACGCCATACACTCAAACAGGTACGTTGTTTAACTAACCCTTTATGTAACATGCATCTGCACCAGATGATATGGCATTGCTAATGTCTATTGGTAATCATGCTACATTTTGCAGTAAATTGAAATAAAAATAGTGGTGGAATTGTCTAGTATTTCTCTCACTCACTCGTATTTACATGCAGTCATAGTCAGTAATAGTAGTTGAAGAAGTAGAATAATTTTCAGAACCCCAGAGGTAGCAAAAATCTACAGTGCATAATCTGTTGCCCTACTGCTATCGGTTTGAATCTAGGCTCATTGTTAGTGTTACCTTACTTCCTGTGTTTATAAGGTGCATATTGTACCTATTGCTGTTCGCCTTCCTTTCCGCTTGTTCAATTGATTTCAATACGTTAGATCCTATAGATAAATGCAACTACATTCTCAGGGGAGATAACCAATACAGTGTTCAAATAGGAAAATACATTAAAGAATGTTTCGATCTTAGAGAACACATGTTAGAAAATAGTTAACCTTTATTGTTACATCATACATATACTCTGTACGTAAATGACGTTATCCACACATGTATTTAGCTTTGTTAGATCTTTAGTTAAGTTGTAGAAGACCATACAAAAGTCTCTGTACTTTTTTGTTGTGTCAATAAAGAATCTCTATGTCATAAACCAACTTTCCAAAATAATATGCCATGGTTCTTTTTATAAGGTTATGTTCCTTGATATGCACCTAGTACTTTATTCCGATCTATCTAGTTGATCCTTTTCTAAACATTTCCAAAAAGCCTGTGTGGGCTGGGCAAAGCCATATAAGGACATAATGATAAAGAGTTCATTCATTCATACGTGAGGTAAGAACTAGAAGACGAAGCTAATTCCCACCAACAGTCGGAAACTATAAAGTCCTATTCACCTGCGGTCGATTTAAATCTCTAGGTGATGTAGCGTTCTGCAATGTGACGGAAGGATTCAGATGCTTAAACAGCGAGAACTGGTTCTTAGAGGATGAACAATGCGACGACTACAAAGTCCGTTTCTACTGCAGCTGCCGTGAAGATGGTATGTAAATTTCAAGTAAACATGTCACAGTACACTTTCTTCTGCATCTGCCCTGCAGATGGTATGTAAATTTCAAGTAAACATGTCACAGCACACTTTCTTCTGCATCTGTCCTGCAGATGGTATGTAAATTTCAAGTAAACATGTCACAGCACACTTTCTTCTGCATCTGCCCTGCAGATGGTATGTAAATTTCAAATAAACATGTCACAGCACACTTTCTTCTGTATCTGCCCTGCAGATGGTATGTAAATTTCAAATAAACATGTCACAGCACACTTTCTTCTGCATCTGCCCTGCAGATAATATGTAAATTTCAAATAAACATGTCACAGCACACTTTCTTCTGCATCTGCCCTGCAGATAATATGTAAATTTCAAATAAACATGTCACAGCACACTTTGGCTTCTGCATCTGCACTGCAGATAATATGTAAATTTCAAATAAACATGTCACGGCACAGTTTCTTCTGCAGCTGCCCTGCAGATGGTATGTAAATTTCAAGTAAACATGTCACAGCACAGTGTAACCTACATTACCATGTTTGCGTTGTTACAAAGTCCTAAAATAAAGTTGCTTGGTGTAATGTACTTATTCACTACATGTGTGTAAACAAAAGTCACATTGCACCAACGGCGAATTGCATTGTGAATGTGACATGCATCACAATGAGATTGAAATGCGATAATTGCATGTTGCACCTCTTCAAATAACAGAAACGACGGTAAGGCCGCCAACAACGAGTGAGGCAGTGGCAACAACCACACCATCAGGCATATGCATCGACCACTGGACACAGTTCTTCAATGAAAACACACCAACTCATGGAGAAAATGGCTTTGAGATTGAAAGTTTGCACGACCTAAAGGAAAAGTACATGATCTGTTACGAGATGCTTATCACAGATATTGAATGTGTGAATGCTACTGGGACGCCATACTATGAAACAGGTAATGTACATTTGGAAAACGTTTTGTGCATAGTCAAGTATCTATCTGGGCCTGCTAACCCTTCTAATCAGAAGTCTTATGATATCCTTAAAGTAATTAATCGTGGTGTACCACAAGCCATCATACCGCCTAATTCACATTATGACAATTCCTATCTCGGAGTATTTTTCTATCATGATTCATGAGGTTATAAAAATTAAAGGTGGGGTTCAACGGTATTTACATGCAGTTGAAGCAAGATGATTTCTTGCCAATAAAAAGAAGGAAGATAATTTCCTGGCAATGATCGGAAAATATGCGATGCTAGGTATTCACCTGCGGTCGATTTAAGGGGCACCACCACTGAGCGCACCACTCGTTCCAGTCATAAACTGAGTCTTACCAAATGTAGAACTGAGCGGTACAAACAGAGTAGCGTCCCATATATGATCTACCTCTTGAACAGTCATTGTTTGTCTTAGACACAGCATATCAAAGACTTTGGGAATAATGATGTGGATATCTGTGCTACAACCTATGTAAATAAATGTGTAACGAATTTGGATGTACAACTGGACGTAATTCAGCCGTTGGCTGAAAAGTCCACGTTTTTATGAAGAAAAAACTTTGATTGATTGATTGATTGATTGTGATTGATTGATTGATTGATTTAAATCTCAAGGTGATGTAGCATTCTGCGATGTGACGCAAGGATTCAGATGCTTAAACAGCGAGAACTGGTTCTTAGAGGATGAACAATGCGACGACTACAAAGTCCGTTTCTTCTGCTCATGTCCAGGTATGTAAATCTTAAGTAGACAAGAAACAGCACAAGTTGTCTAGCATGTTTCTGCTGTTACGAAATCATTATGTAAATTTACGAATTGTATCAAGAGCACACTTTAATCACATTGCAACAACGAATAGCATTATTGTCGACGTTATAAATTCAAATAAGATTAATGATAATTAATTGGGAGCAGAGAAAAACCTGTTGAAAAATAGTGTTGACAAATTCATACCCTCCTCATTCAAGTATCTTTGAATCACATTACACTGCATTGTAGATTATATATAAACTAGCTGGATGCAAAGTGTCCCTGGTGCTCCGACTACAATGTTCTCTTCTACTGTGACTGCCCATATATATATATATATATATATATATATATATATATATATATATATATATATATATATATATATATATATATATATATATATATATATATACGATATACCGAATAATCAACTAATATTAGCTCCGCTTTGTCATATAAGATTTCCTTTTTGGGCCGATCGAATAATGAACCGAGTATATGTAACGTTGAAAATGGGGGAATATAATTGAGAGCCAGTATAACAACAACAAAAAACACGAGCCATCCTCAGACACATCCAAGTTTTTTCATATACCAAACTTTACAGAGACAACAACCCCAGAGACAACAACTCCCGAGCAATGCGACCCTTACTGGACTGAGTTCTTTGATGAAAGCACACCTACCATAGGACTCAATGGCCAGGAGACTGAAACTTTGGAAGACCTCAGAACGAAGTACATGATCTGTCACGGGCAACCAATTACAGACGTTGAGTGTGTAGATGAGAATGGCATATCATATCGTGACACAGGTGAGTCATAGCTACTTTTTTAAAACACCAATTTTACAGTCTGAAAAATTCAACTTGTACAGTAGACATTTTACGCAACTATCATCACATCAATAATATATTATTATCTCATTATTTGTTTATAAGTTCAGTGAGCTTCTCATTAATGAAGGTATTAGAATGGTACCTATTTTAAATCTCATTCAAAGGATTAATTATACGAAAGCATTACATGAATAAGTAGATGTTCTCTATACTACCGTGCAGCTATGATACCGACAAATAACCAAGAGCGTGGTTGCTGTTGTAAACAGAAGCAGCAACCTGTTAAAACAAGCCTTCGGGGCGAAAAAGAATATTTCTAGACTGCTGTCTACAATGTAGTTTCTTGAATAATCACTACACGCTCCACTTAATGTTTCTCTAGGTGATGTGATAAGCTGCACCACATCGGAAGGACTTCTGTGCAACAATCATGACAACTGGTTTACAGAAGATAAACAGTGCTCCAACTACAGAATCCGTTTCCAATGTGGATGCCCAACTCCATCACCAACTCCAGAGTGTGCACAGTGGACTGAGTTCTTTGATGAAAGCACACCTACTGGAGGACTAAATGGCCAGGAGACTGAAACCCTGGAAGACCTCAGAACGAAGTACATGATCTGTCACGGGCAACCAATTACAGACGTTGAGTGTGTAGATGAGAATGGCATATCATATATGGAAACAGGTGAGTTATAGCTACTTCCCTCTGAGCGAATTTCACCTATTTTACAGTCTGAAAAATTAAGCGTGTACAGTAGACATTTTACGCAACTATCATCGCATCATTTATATATTATATATTATTATCAATTTAATATTATTTTTCTAGGTGATGTGGCAAGCTGCACAACAGAGGGGGGGCTTGTGTGCAACAATCATGACAACTGGTTTACAGAAGATAAACAGTGCTCCAACTACAAAGTCCGTTTCCAATGTGGATGCCAAACAACTACAGAGACACCAACTACTACAGAGACAACTACTACAGAGACACCAACTACTACGCCACTATGTACCCCGTACTGGACTGACTACTTTGATGAAAGCACACCTACTATAGGACTAAATGGCCAGGAGACTGAAACTTTGGAAGACCTCAGAACGATGTACATGATCTGTCACGGCCTACCGATTACAGACGTTGAGTGTGTAGATGAGAATGGCGTATCATATCTCGATACAGGTAAATTCAAACTACTTCTGGTCAATTATTCTGTGTGATTTTGACACTGATAAATGCATTATTTACTGTAGACCTGTTACGAATATGCCGATAATACAGAACTGTTGATTATAAGTGTTATTTGTTTAAGATCCGTGATCCTTTCAACCGTGATAGTATTACATTAATTCGAAATTTAATTTACAAAAACCATACAAAGGCAACACAGCATATAAACATTTTCCAAGGTATGATGGTACTATAGCCAAGAACATGGTTCCTGTTTAACAGACGCAGCACTATATCAAAATAAGATTTCGCAGACCTCATACCTCTATGAAACAAATTTATCTCATTGATCATGGGAATAGGAAAGACATTACCATTATTTATTTTCATTTGCGGCCTTCTACACTCAAATTACAATATTTTGTGTGTCCTCATTGATTATGCAAATGACATCTATATTAACAAAATATATCCATAGGGATGTTAACCTTCAAATAACTTACACATATCATAAGGTATACAATATCCATCACTCACCATTAAGAAATCATAGAATTTTCACATCAATTATGCAAATAGGGTCATTATTTGCATTATTAAAATCTAATGATTTCCCACCTGCCATAGATTGCATGCATTACATGCAGGAAAGTACTACTGCGTAAAACAATGTAATTACAGATTTCCTACTTAATAATGCAAATTAAGTCTTCATTTGCATAATTTGCATTTATTATGTACATCTCTCCCTAAGTTACCTACATACCACGATTGATGAAAATTCATTGTGCCGTTTTGGACTTATTCGCTTTAAAATTTCCTCAGAAACTCCCCTACAGTTCCAGAACAAGCTGCTAGGGGGACAAAACCCATACCATGAACTGTTACCGAAAAGTCAATACCATATCATGTTCGGGACAAAAGATACAAAAACCAAACGTTCTGCTGCATGCAGTACCAAGGTCAGCCACCAGGATGACCAAAATTTACCTTGACCTTTATCTTCCTACGGCCTACCCACATACCTCAATCCAATCCATCTTAACTTCATAACGCCTTTATGGTCCATGGAGGCGTTATGAAGTTAAGATGGCTAATATAAAGATGTGCGGAAACATGCACACTCAGACAGACACAGAGAGAGACAGAGAGAGAGAGACAGGCCAAAAACAATATCTCCTTTTTATGGAGGTAATTAGTGTTCCTCACGGATAGAATATTTCTTATCTTTACGTAGCTTCCAATGTAGTAGATTTCACTAATCAGGACACAAACCACTTAAATTACTTCTAGGGGATGTGGCAAGCTGCACCACAGAGGAAGGACTTCTGTGCAGCAATCATGACAACTGGTTTACAGAAGATAAACAGTGTTCCAACTACAAAGTCCGTTTCTACTGTGGATGCCCAGAGCCAATATGTAACCCGTACTGGACTGACTACTTTGATGAAAGCACACCTACTATAGGACTAAATGGCCAGGAGACTGAAACTTTGGAAGACCTCAGAACGAAGTACATGATCTGTCACGGTCTACCGATTACAGACGTTCAGTGTGTTGATGATGATGACGTATCATATCTCGATACAGGTAAATTTAAACTACATCTTTTCCATAATTTCGGGTCGTTTTCACCCATTTGACACTGATATATGCAACGTTTACTGTAGAGCTGTTGCGCATATGCCTACAATACAGAACTGTGGTTATCAGTGTTGTTTATTTTAAGATCTGTGCGCCTTTTATCCATAAGGGTAATAAAAGAATTCCATTAATTCAAAATCTGATTTTAAAAAGACATGCAAAAGCAACACATCAAATACATATATTTCTGTACTATTTCTCAGTTATGATGCACATCCCACTTAATTTTTTTCTAGGTGATGTGGCAAGCTGCACCACATCGGAAGGACTTACGTGCAGCAATCATGACAACTGGTTTACACACGATCAACAGTGCTCAAACTACAGAGTCCGTTTCCAATGTGGATGCCCCACAACTCCAGAGCCACCATGCGCACCACAGTGGACTGACTACTTTGATGAAAGCTCACCTACCATAGGACTAAATGGCCAGGAGACTGAAACCCTGGAAGACCTCAGAACGAAGTACATGATCTGCCACAACCAACCAATTACAAACGTTGAGTGTGTAGATGAGAATGGCATATCATATCTTGACACGGGTGAGTGATGCTACTCCTGTTCCATCATTCAATGTGGGTTTCAATCATTTGCACTGATAACTGCAATGCTTACAGCAGATATGTTATGCGTATCCCTTAAAATTCTGCTTATCAGTATCTTGTAACATGGTGCGATCTTCTCAAGAAGGAAAATAGAACGACACTGGTTTTTAAACTGGTCGGAAAGATATATAAAAGCTATATATACATATATCGTCTGTACTATTACATTGATGCAGCTACGATGATTAAAAGCGAAGAACGTGGTTCCTGTTGAACAGTACAGCATCTAATTGAAATCAGTCTCCAGCAAGGGTACAGAGTATTTCTATCTGTAGTGTCCAAACTAATAGCTTTCACTAACCAATACACGCCCCAATTTATTTTTTCCTAGGTGATGTGGCAAGCTGCACCACATCGGAAGGACTTACGTGCCTCAATTCTGAAAACTGGTTTACAGACGATCAACAGTGCTCCAACTACAGAGTCCGTTTCCAATGTGGATGCTCAACTCCAGAGCCACCATGCGCCCCACAGTGGACTGACTACTTTGATGAAAGCTCACCTACCACAGGGCGAAATGGCCAGGAGACTGAAACTTTGGAAGACCTCAGAACGAAGTACATGATCTGCCACAACCAACCAATTACAGACGTTGAGTGTGTAGATGAGAATGGCGTATCATATCTTGACACGGGTGAGTCATAGCTATTTATATCATTCTTTGTGGTCACACAGCTAAATGCATGACGGGTCCATCATCATTTTACGATTTTCTGATAGATAAAAAGCTTGTGGCAAAAAGTTGTTTCCACCATTGTTTTATCATTCTGTGCATTCAAGCTATGTGGGCTTCTAATTAGTCCACAGCAAGTAAATTGTATGGATAACATCCTCCACAGACTCCAAATCTCATGCGATAGGACGAAAAAACGCCAGGTCAAAAAACAAGATCCCTTAACATTTTCAAATTTTGACATCACAAATCTTGTTAGAAAAAAGAAATGATAAATATATTGTTTTGAGTTTACTGCCAACTATACAACATCCATTTATCATTGAAACAACCTTCAAAAATAAGTTTTCAATCATTGTACAAATGATTTTCATTAAGTGGGAACACATCACAAGTACACAGCCACCATCACATATAAGAGGAACCGAAATACTCCACTGCATCAAATTAAAAGACAAAACACAATAAATCAGAGCCTTGCCTTGACTCCTTAAGACTTGTCAATTCTGTGTACGAATTTCTTTTATCTGTAGTGAGTATCTCTGATGTACTGTCGTATAAATAGCTTTGACTAACCGATGCTCCACTTGAACTGTCATCTAGGTGATGTGGCAAGCTGCACCACAGAGGCAGGACTTACATGCCTCAATTCTGAAAACTGGTTTACAGCCGATAAACAGTGCTCCAACTACAGAGTCCGTTTTCTATGTGGATGTCAAGGTTTGTTTGCATCTTTTTACAGAGCAGTGCTTTTACTATGATGGCATCTTCAGGAGACATTATGTCTCTATTAGAAGTATATATCCATCTGTATTTCTTTCATTATATTTGCATTATTCTAACGCATCATGTGTAATTGTGTGAGTGAGTGAGTGAGTGAGTGAGTGAGTGAGTGAGTGAGTGAGTGAGTGAGTGAGTGAGTGAGCTATTCTAATTTGGATGCGAAACTTGTTCCAAGCCATTGCCCATCTTAGTCTAGTAAAAGCAACAGCGTAAATAGAAATTTATTCACCAAAACCATTCATAAAGAACTGAAATTTGAAACCATTTAACATTTGGGACCATTTTTACATATAAAAAACGTAAACAATATCAATATTTGAAGCATCGATGCTACTCTCCATATTTAGAGACGACAACTTCACAGCCAGTAACCACCCATCCACCATTTTCTGGAAACGGTGAGTACCTGCATTATTGGTGTCCATTACATGTATTGGTGATGTTGCTGATGTACAACTCATGTAGCTCAATATTGTGAAGTATGGCACCACACGAGCCACTGACAAATTTGAACAACTTCCCAACAAAAACTTGCTTAAGAATTATTATGAATTTACCTCGGCAATGTAGTGCTAGCGAGATGTTTGTCCACGACTATACTGATACATTTGAAACTATTATTTTCCTTCCATAATGCAATCATCATTCGCTAACTAAGATCTGATGCCTTTTACAGGAACTCTTTCTTCCGAAAGACTTACAATTTACTATGCATCTAGTTTTTTTTCTGTTTTATTTGTATGTCTCTAGAGTTTTGTATTATTTTAATGATGTACTGTGTCATATGTTTTTTTACCTGAAATAAAGGATGAATAATAATAAAAACCCTTACAAAATTTAAAGCAAAACTGTGTATCTGTTCAGCCCCATATACTGAATATCGTGCAATATTGCACTTCCACGATTCTTTTCAGTGTCAGAGGTCTTTATTCACACAATAATGGAGGGATTCGACTACACGTTAAATATGTCCATCAAAGGAACAGAAGATTACATGATGTTGGAAGAAGGTGTCTTACAAATGGTAATTCCTTTTATCTTTGTTTTGGTGTTGTGGTCAATAATGTTATAGAGAATTCATTCATATGTTTCCTTTCAGCCAGAGGTATGCTATGACCAGTGCCAGCTACCTTTTGTATAGATAAATGAATAGCTGGAAGAGAAAGTTGTATGGCACAAGCCATCAAAGCTAGAGATATTGTATATTCAAGATGTCAATCTATGTAACACGTTGCTCTATAATTTATTATAATACCATTAGAGGCTATTCTGTAATTGTATGTAAAAAGTAAGAATTATGTTGATTTCATCTAGAGCTGACCTAATCTATAACGGATCTTTCAATGATAATTGCGATACAAGCAGAGTCTAATTCTTAGTCCAATTATGAATGTTAACACAACATTTCTTACTTTAAGATTTACCTTTTATGACATTGTGGTGGTTACTTTTACTATTTGAATATGTTGTGACATGTGCTTTAAATCTATTATTCTATTCTTAGATTAACAGTTTGATATTAATACATGTATGTACCACTTGTTGAGATATGTGGACAAAATTACATTATTTAAAAAATCTTCTATCGTGTGTCTTCCAGATTGGGATGATGTTTGATGACTATCTTGGAACCGGCATAAACGTGTCCATTGTATCAGTCGTGTAAGTTTTCAAATTGATTTAAACATTTTAATTCGTGTTAAAAGTATTAAAGAGCGCTTGAAGAAATATTTCTTCATGATGCACGCATTTATAACTTTAAAACCTAATACATTTTGTGCACCAAAAATTATGATCATCATATCACATGAACATCGTGACATTAGAAGCTTCATTATGAAAATGATTTACTAACATTACGCTTCTGTTAACCTATAATGCCATGCATGTTAAGCGAGTTGACAAAACATTGTTGGTATCTTAATGCTGTTATTTGTTTATTTCCTACACAGGAATGGTAGTGTGGATGTCACAACCAAGTTAGATCTGTATGAGGAGCTGATTCCAACTGCATACTCCCGGATCCTAGGCAACGATTGGCTAAAGACAGTGCTCGTAGATGAGCTGCCTCCTGAACGCTATGCGTATTTATTGAGCATTGATGAAGCACGTCGGACACTGGATGAAGAACATGGACATGAGCATAGTACGAAAACATTTCTATAAAAAACATGCTTTTTATTGCCGTTTTTAACAGGATTTAACTGTTGTGTGAAATGTAAAGCCTCTACAAGTACTGAGGAAAATTCAACTTTATATATCGAAGGTAACTTGCAGTTTGAGTGCACAAGAACGAAAGGCTATGATGATGATGTACTCTTAAATTATGCCTTCTACTTTAGAACTCAACACCAGATGAGATATATGTTACACGAGTTACACCAGAGAAGAAGTTCTTTTTCAAATTTATTCCATGAACATGTATTATGCTCCAGAATTTCCAAGTTCTTCACTTCTGAAAAATGAATTCACAATTAGTACTGTGTAACATTGTTTTGTACTTGACAACATTGTACATGAATGTCAACGAAAATATTTGTCTAGATCATACTGCTATAAGACAGTACTAATCAAGAAATAGATGAGTCCAACACCTTAAAACTTTCACTCAATATGTCATTCTCTACAACAGCACTCCACTATGCGATGAGGAACTGTGGAGATTTTGTTCCTGGATGTGTACCTAAGGAGTTGTGCTTAACTTGGGAAAATGAAACAAATTGTCGGTGCTTCACTGGCTATGTAGACAGTCATGGCCACATTTGCACAGGTATGTGGAAGGTTCCATTTTAAACATTATTATTATAATGGTGTTTTTTTTTAGATTTAAATAGCAAGGAATAAACCGAGAATATCATGATGATAGAAAAAGGGCATGCACCCTCACAACTTTGAAATTTGCACCAGATCAGCATTTGTTTGTCAACCAATCCACATTGCCACTTTTTTCTGTCCAATACATTTTTTGCCAAATCGGTTGACATATTGCATGTAATTTGGAACGTTTCGTACATTTTTGTGAAGTATGAAGAAGAATCTGATGTATAACTCACCCAGTAATCATGTCCTGCTTAGGTTTAGACCAGGATGCAGAAATCGGCAGTATTACATACTGCTTTTGTTCTCCTATTAATTCCTTTTCTTATCTCTTGATTTTTCTCATTTTCTTTCTTCAGCAACACCATCACCTCCACCAGGTATGACATACTTACCGCTTACCGGCCCCATGGCTAGAGGTGGTCATGTGGGCACTTCACAACTCAACACACCCATCATGACATACCTGTTGCGTCATATCACATGAACGTAATGTACATTAAATATACAATATCACTTGGTGACATTTCCACTGTTATGCGGCCAGAGGACTGGTATGTATTCTTTCTGCAAAGAGCTGAAAATGCAGTGTACTTCAAAGTTGCCCTTACCTCTGGTACAAGTTTGTGTTTTCAAGAGCCTTAACAATAGCTTTAGAGCTGTAGGTCTTGGACAAGGTAGGAACCACAAAAAACAAAGACGGATACATCAAGTCACACATGTAGTAAGAAACAACTACAGAAGAACTACACATCAAACAGGTCACCCTGTGAACAAAACATGCCTCATCAACAAAACAAACTTTAAACAACAGTTGAATACAACTATCTACTTCTTAAGATGATGATTAGCTTTAGGTTTTCCTTCCATTCTCATTGCTAAGCACTGTCTTTTAAATTGTGAACCAAACAGACGGCTATTGTGAGCCCTACTGGACCCCCTTCTTCAACACCAACACAACCACAGCAGGAGAGTTTGGTGGGGAGATGGAACTGCTGGAAAACGTCAGACAGGGAAATTACAGCATTTGTGACGATGACTACATCATAGACATCATGTGCAGGAAAGTAGGAACGAACCTGACTGCTGATGATTTAGGTGAGGATAGTCTACTTTTTTTCTTCCAGCTTAACACAAGTAACCATCATGAAATACATGAACTAAGAATATAATGTTGAAGGTTTATGTTTACTTGGATCTACCAGACAGTCTACAATGGATGACTGCCTCTTTTATGCACACTGTCACTCGTGCGAGTACAGTCCAATTCTTGATAAACGGTCTCTGTGGCAGATGTTGCATCCAAATGACCCGATGCCATGTGAAATGTGCATTTATCTTCAATATTCCATAAAAGCATGTCATACGAAATCCTTTGTTCAAAACTTAGTAGAATATTAGGACAATCCAAAGACAATCTATCTCTTGTAGTACCTGTACCTATATTGGCCATATCTCAGGAAATTAGGCAATCTATATTATCTAGAATAAAGGTTACTATATACTTGGCTTCTGATTAGTGAATGTGGTTTATGCATCCAAGTCTCAAGTGTCAATTACTTACTGATGTATGTAGACATGAAAATGGTGACTATATTTCATTTATAAGACATCAACCTGAAGATGTGCGTTATACTTCTCAGGTCAGACAGTGCTGTGCAACAACACAATGGGACTGAGTGGATTGAGGTGCTTCAATAGTGACAACCTGGACACAGATGCTGGCCAGTGTGAAGATTACGAAGTTTCTTACAAGTGTGGATGTGAAATAGGTACAATCTTATTCACCTCATTGTCAGTGTTATTTCTAGTGTGTAGAAACATTAACCAGCAGGCCAATCATATTCGATATGGCAATAGCTATACAGCACATTAGTTTAAGACACAGTGCTACAGTATTGTCTTGTATTGTGATATGGCATGCATTTACAACATGCATTTTATACTGTCACATGCCTTTCAGGATATAGCTTGGGTCTGTGATATTAACCATGTTCACTTGTACATCGGCAACCCTGTTTGAAGTCAGTTGTGTTTTAATCACATGCAACTGCAAACATTGATGTACTGGACTTTTACAGAGATTGTGACATCAGTGCTGTCATCAAGGATGGTGGGTATTGAGTGGAGTGTGAGGTTTACAGACAAGAACAGCTGGGAGTACAAGTTGGTTGAAGAATACTACATGAAGATGGTAAGTTCAAACATCTAGAATATTTGGTGACAATGAACATAACTTCGATTTCACCATGCATAAGACACACTTGGCTTCATTGACTACTATCATTGCCTTTTTCTGCAGTTTCCTACAGTTATCATAATGATTTAAATTGGGCATTATATAGATTTACACACGCACACGTCTGACTCACCTTTTAGACTCACAGTATAAGAAAACAAAATTTCCCCATGAAAAGAAATCCTAGTATGATGCTCAACAAAATGAAAAACTAAATTTCATTGCACTTTGTAATTATAGTAACTATGTTAACATGACTAATTTGATATCTTGCCAATTCTTTTCATCTAATATATAAACATGCCTCTAAAGACATCCTAGATCCTAGTGAGATGCTCAGCAAAATGAAAAACTAAACTTCATTGCAATTTGTAATTATAGTATCTATGTTAACATGACTAATTTGATATCTTGCCAATTCTTTTCACCTAATATATAAACATGCCTCTAATCATTCAAACCAAATTGGAAAATCGCTATGTCTTTAATGTCTTCCTTCGTTACAGTTACTAACTTACATTTTCTTGTATCTTTAGACGAGAACTATGCTGGCAGATATTGATGGTATCTTCGGTATGCGGTTCCTAGGGATCACGTATGTTACAATGCATTTGTTTTGTCACCTTAAAATTTGTCTCTTCAAGATACTGTTAGAGGTTGGATGCAGAACTTACAATAGTATGATTAACCAAGCAGCCAGTTAACTTGCAGACATACTAGCATTAACTCAATGCCAGTATCTAAGCACAACACCACATTATCATTATCAGACAAAGGCTATTCTTCTTTTAGCTACCTAAAACCCACCAATTTTGGAAAACGTGGGACATTACCTCTTCCGTGGTTTACAAAAGAGAGGTCAAACCTTTCAGACATAGTTTTATACAATTACCTCGTGTCATTATGTATATTTTGAAGTTATCTTGTACTCTGTTTCAATGTTTTTATCCATGTTATTTTTAGTTATTATATTAGCCTTCGGGCGGGAATTTGCAATAAACTTATCTGTTATCTTTTCAGGCCGGGGAGTATCATTGTCAGCGTTGAGATCAACTCAACTCGAGCGGCAGTACACCTGCTTCGGTACAGGTCACTAGAACTGGATGATGACTGGCACTTTGTACCTGACGACATGACAATGGGAAATATGTGTAAGTTTACATCATAACCTCTTTCTGAAATGGTTATGTTTACAAGATACAAGATGACGTTATTCGTTTTCACAATGTGTATAACACTGAATTAAAATTGAATCAACGTGTAAAAAGAATCCCAATTAGATAAAAACAGTTGCAGTAAGTAAACTATTGTCGTTATAAAAATGGGCAGTTGTATAATATACGTGCCTATAGATATATACAAACAGGTTAAGATTTCATGTCCTAAAAAATTACAAAAGACAGATTGGTACAATATATTTACCAGAATTTGTAATACATCTCCACGTATCCTTTATGTCAACTTCTGACATGCAGTCAATTTACTTACTGAACAAGAACAGCAAAATGGTTGACAAATCAACCGCTTAATTTGGCGTAGAAACTGTTCTTTATTCCAGATCTTTTGCTGTTTACTTTTCACTTTGCTAGACTAGTTTTATAGCGAGGATATTCATAAATTCTGACACTTTTTACACCTTCAGCAATCTGGGAGCTGATGGGAGATCAGTGCACGTCAAGTCTTCACACCACCTGCACTCCAGTAGAGACCTGCTTTCTACACCATCATGGCGAATACCGCTGTCGTTGCCATTCAGGCTTCATTGAGATTGAAAATAAAACAAGATGCATTGGCAAGTATCAGAGCAAGCTGCAACATTTAAAACCTCCAGGAATCCTTTTATTTTAATCTATTGTCACCAATTTAGAAGGCATAAGATTTTAGCTTAAAACGTTATACGTGTATAATGTTAAGTCCAGACCACCAGATTGGGAAATTAATTTTCAGAACGAAAATATTAATTTTCAGAAAGAAACGTTTATGCCACTTTCTTTGGACTGTCAGGGGAAAATATCCCCACAAGAAGGGTTAACCTGCAATGCATTACAAATTCACAACTTGTATTTTATAATAGATTGCCCAACGTATGATGAAAACCGACGAAAATTGTTACAATATATTACATGTAAGACCGATATAACGCTACCCCATACAAAGACAGATATTCAATATGCTACTATCATGTCCTGTCAATATATCCACTTATGTAGGCCAATTTATACACAATTCGCTGACAAAATGCGAAAATGTAATAAATTCCTGACACAATATATTACTATCAATAGAGTTAGATTGGTATAATTGGTGTCTCTTAATTGCTATACATTGTTTATGAAAGTGGACCAGATTCTTAGTACAGTTAGTAGAACTGTTAGATATTTTTAGCATTACCAACTATGTATGTTAGCATCACCAACTATGTACATGTATGTGTATTTTGCCATACGAGGTATCCACTACATCTGTTGCGCACTAAAGTTCTTCTTCTTCTTCTATTTCTAACAGATGTAGACGAGTGTGAAGTGGCAATAGATGAGTGTGCAATGTACAACAAGTCATGCACAAACCTTCCCGGGTCCCACGCATGCCACTGCCCGGACGGGCTGGTGTGGAATGTAACAAGCTCTTCTTGCGGCGGTAAGTTGTTTTTATTTTCTTCTTCACATAAAGATATTAGGAGACTAGGTGGTAAATTACGCCTATGTGTTTTTATATAATAGAAAAAACCCATAGGCAGAGGAAGATAGTGGCAGTCCCTCCCACCAAGGCGTTTTTAATTTTATCTATCAAACAATAAATAACCTTTATTTATACTGGAAATGCCCTGTCGGCCTTAGCCACTCTTCCCAGAGGTCCAGTTGTCTATCTATCTAATATAGTATCTATCTACCAATCAATCTATCTAAAGTATCTATCTATCTATTTTGTACTGGGCCAAACCCCATGCCGCCCAGGGTTTTGACAGATGCATCCAGTGTGGTGAGGGTGCTCTGGAAATTGATAAGAAAGGGAAAAGTGTATTGATGTGTGAAATGGTGTTCATCACTAACGAGTGCTCTTTCCCAGATGAAACTGTGCAGTGAAACTCTGAAATTCAATACGTAATCTAATTTTCAATCCATCTCCTTCACAGAACCCATTGTGGCTAAGTGGGTGCCTATACGACTCAATGTAACAGACTGTTCAGATCTAGACTGTAGCCCAGGGACCTGTGAGTATGACACTGCCGGGACTCCCTTCTGCCGATGCCCTGACGGCACCAAGAGAAACAACTGCCATGAAGGTAAAAACATCATATTCTTCACTTTGTTTTATTGCCTTTTCCTAGTTTGGTTCTACGGTATTGTTTTATTACTTATACCTAAACTTGACAATTCAATGCAATCCACTTACCATGAATAAATGGTAAAAAATGTGTTATGTCTTCGTTTTGTATTACTCTTTTTCATTCTCTTACAATTAAGTACTGTACATCACCTCTGACACTGAGTTTTCTGGCAACCCCCAACAACTACACAAGGACAAACATAAGATCAGCTGTTTATAAGTTTTATATTTCTATCCTAGGACTAATTGGAGATGCAGAAACGGGGTCTTTGGCAGCGTTGGCAGCACTGGCAGCAATCATCCCCTGCTGCTGCTGTCTGGCCATCCTAGCTGCACGCAAACAGCGCAAGAAGAGAAAGCTCCTTTTAGTAAGTTTCCTCCGTCATTCTTCAATCATAGCTCTGTAATATCCTGTGCATGTTTGAATAATTGCAAAGCACATGGGGTCGTGTGGCGTAACGGCAGAGCATTCGGCTTGGTACCAAGCAGTCCCGAGTTCGAATCCTGGCATGCCACCAATCTTGTACCCTTGAGAAATGCACTTTACAAGAATTTCCTCACTTTACTCAGATGAAAATGAGTATGTCTGTTGTTTGTTGTCTGCATTGGTGGTGGCATAAAAATAAGTTGAACAAACTTGAATGTGCAGTCACCATCATGTCTTCTGATAAATTTTGAAATAGAAAAAAGTTGCAAATCACATTTTAGTATCCCTTCTGTAATTCATAGCCATGCATAGAAATGCATGTGAATAACATCATGATGTCATATTGTATACAAAACTATTGAGCAAAACATGTGTCACTAGCATAGTGCATGGCGTCACATAATATTAAATTTAATCTGCATTTATTCATCCAAGTACTGATTCAGAAGCTTTCTGATTTAGTAATGGTCAATCGTTTCAAGACTTTCAATATTTTGTTATTCTATGCAATGCCAAATATAGACAATTATTTGGTCCTGCATTAGTAGTATGATGTATGCAATAAAATTGTGTTGTAATAAAATTAATCCTGCTTACATTTTTTACAGCTTCATTCCACGGGAGTCTCTTCTCATCGTTGCTCCCAAAATGACAGATAAGACAACAAGTGTCTTCGACAATGACAGTGCTTACGCAGCCCGTCTTGGACAGAACCCAGACTCCTGGTCCTCACACACTGACAGCCCATCTTTCAGTGGGAGTGATGCACCACTGTTTATAGGACGGTTAGAGGATTTCCTTTTGTATCAGATCATCATTGGTAACTACGCTTTTCTGGTAGAATGCACCCTCAAACGTGATGTTGCTTATCAACAGTGAAAGCTAATTCAAACATTAATTCATCAGGATGCGAAAAAGTCTATTTTCTTCTGCAGCTGGACTTTACTTCTGCTCAGGATGCAGCTAACATTAAATTTGATACATTATAATGATTACATTTCCTGCAATGTTGATTGCTGCACTGTATCTTGAATTCAGTGTAGAAACTATGTTGCGAAAACGAATGCTTTGTGTCAGCTTAATGTGACGGAAAAGGCTTTTTAAAAATGTGTGTGTGTATGTATGTATGTAAGTTTGCTTATGTGTTACGCTGAATGCCAACATGCATGCTGTTGAACAGGCTTACTGAAGAGAGCAGAACTAATGCTATTATAATAGTGATCTAGAAGTTAATACTATCTACCAATCCAAGCAACATTCCCCCACATTAGGTACATGCCAACCCCTGAGTCTGTCAGACGTCGAACCTCCAATGAGATGTACCGGGAGTCCGATGATGAAAGCCTCAAGCAATACCATCAGATCTTCAAGCAAGATCGAAAAGTAAGGAACCTCTGTTGTGACTTGACAAACTCAACATAGATTAAAGTGTAATGTCTTTTTGTCCTTGATACTTAATTCAAAATGTTGCCATTTACACATACTTTACATTGCACTAGTTATACAACACACTATGAATAAAATTATTTTTCTCTTTGTAGTTGTTAGTTGTTTCATTGTTGATTATTAGTTGTAGGACTTCCTTTAAGTAAGAAAATATTACATATTATAAGAAAAATTCTGGAAAATTCACGCCTCAAAAGGAAAGCATACATTATGTTATTCAGCTATTAATATATTTTGTTGGGTCTTAATTTCAAATTATATTGAAATAGATTATATTGATGAACATTCAACTTTTTTCTTTTGTTACAGTTCAAGCTTGAGCGACCCAAGTTTACATGGTTGCCTCCAATGACCTAAAAATGGAGGCAGTCTCAGAGTCAACAGATATTGTGCAAAATCACCAGCACTCGAATATCTAAGTAACTATAAAGTAACAATATTAGAAAAAAAGTAGATTAATATAAAAATTCAAAATATCTATGTGCACTATAGAAGGCAACTTTAAAGAACGTTATCATACTGACATTGACGATATATTGATATTGACATAGCATGAATTTCCTTAGCAGTATTTCAAAGAGTGCTTTTAAGAGTACAAGTAGAACATTTTGTTGCAATTCTCACATACGATGGCAAATTGATTGTATTTATTCAGGAAGAAATATTCATAGATTCGAGCCCAACCTTAAAATAATGATATGCAAGACTGACTTGCATTATTTATCATTGAACTAAGTTTACACAATATCTTAGTAGGGCAAGCAACTATGTTGCGGCAACTAGTCATCTGTTAGATATTACAATGCTGCTTTCTATTCCTAGAGTGACAATAACTTTGTATTTCTTATTAGAATGCTGCTACTCTTGTAAAGCTTTTGAAATTATAAAGGACTAAAGGGTAAGAATCCTTAAAGTAGAAATAAAGACAGTTTTTCTCTTCTAATGTTAGATACCAAAGGTTAAAAATCCTTAATGTAGAAATAAAGACAGTTAATATATTCTCTCCTCTTATGTCAAATACAATTGCATTTATTTAATTATTTATCTGTCCTGCATGGAGTATCTCTATATAATCAGATACATTTCCAGTCTAGCTTAGCTCACTTTGGGGAGCATAATAAAATATGGGAAAAATCTTTCATGTAGTGGTGTCAATTTCATTTCAGTATGTGAGTTATAGTAGGATGCTGTTGCATGAGTCACCAAAGAAAAAAGAAAAGGGTGGAATAAAGGATATAGATGTACATTAAATTACATGTACTCTCTACCCTGGCAATTGAAAACACAAAACCACTGATCACATGCAACACATCTTTAATTTGGCGTATCTGTACCAAAAGGAGTTACCACTAAGAGAGCCAAAGATAACAAACTTTAATGGTAATGCATATTAATAATGGTAGAACACCAAATGTAATAAGTGTTGAAAGTAGAGTTTCTTTTTGCACCTATAAGTAAGTTCTATACATCCCATGGATGGTAATGGATATACCTCTATTCTTTTGCAGGCCTGTACATATATGTGCCTGGCCAGCTAGCTATGTTTTTTTTCTCTTTGACTACCTACACTTAGTCTACCTTTTAATGAAACAGTCCCTTACTTCCATAACCTGAATTTACATGGAGCATGAACCTAAAACTTATATGGAGCATGAACCTAAACTTACATGGAACATGAACCTAAACTTAAATGGATCATGAACCTAAACTTACATGGAACATGACAATGCAAGAAAAGTTAAGCTAAGTAACAACGCCAAAAAATGAAGTATTACTAAGCAATTCTTAAAGGCATATTTGTCTAATTGTTTTAGGCAATCATAGTGCAAAACATTTTTTATGGCAAAATCCTTTCAACTTTTGACAACTGAAAGATTCATGTACCACATACATTGTGTGTGTGTGTGTGTGTGTGTGTGTGTGTGTGTGTGTGTGTGTGTGTGTGCTGGAAATAGGAGAGAGGCATCTTTCACACTGGATTGATACGATTTTTGTGCTTCATCAAGTACATCTCTGGTGGTGCAAGCATGAGGTATCTGGGGAAATCTGCCTTAAATATCCTATAGATATCACTAGTAGGTTGTCCATCTATCACTGCAGTAAATGAGAAAAAATCACAACCAGTATAATTATTATAATTATAATAACTTTCAAGGTAACCAAGCTGAACTTTGCAAATGTTGCATATTCTAGGCATTGATGATGAATACATTGACTGTACTCTCTTGTGATGTTCAATTGACAACAAAGTGCTTGTCCCTACATAGGATGGCCTCACAAGGCTTGATACACACATTTTCCTCTGCTGAAAAAGATAATAAGCAACCAATAAACAAGAACTTAGCTGGGGTCATCATAATAGATGAAAGGAAGATGAAGTTAAGAAGAGTCTTCTTCATCTATTACAATGATCTGTGTATCAACCTTCTCCCTGATATACTGTAATTTCAATTTTAATTTATGTTCACGAGCAAAAAATCGCGCTCTGAGAAAAATAGACATGTTCGCAGAATTACATGTTCGCAGTGAGAATCGCGCGAAAAAATAGACATGTTCGCAGAATGATATGTTCGCAGTGGCAGCAGGTGCAGAAAAAATTATTTTGGCAAATCATTTGTTTGCGGTAATGATAAGTTTACAGTATGGAAGTCACTGAAAAAATATGATACGCATTTACTTGTTATTTACTACTATTGGTACCTCTTGTGTGAAATCCCCCTCACTGTTAAAAAATTGTCAAATAACCCACCATGTGTTTTTATCACAATAGCTTAGCAAGTCCAAAACCTGAAAAGCAATTTCATCCTTTGGGTTTTCTTTAGAAATTGACCAAAGGTTTCAATAAAAATAAAGCCTTTCAACAAGAAACATCACAGACCTCTGTTCCCACGAACTACAGCTCTAGCAGCTCCTGGCCAAGGCTGGTGTTCAGTTCATCCAGGTCTAACTGCATGGCTTCCAGTTCTTCCATCATGGAAGCCTCGTGTCTTTCAGCCTCTTCTGCCGGCACTCCAACTAGGCATACAGACAGGGGCACAGAACTAAAAACATCTGCATGTTTTGGGTCAACTTCAAATGTAGTTAAAAAGCTACTAGGAGGGAGCACACTTCAGTATCTTTCACCTTAACACTTGCTGCTCAAGTGTAACAGCCCAGAAGAATACACAGAAACATGGCGTCAAGCCAAAATCAACTTTCACCAAACTCGAACTTGGATCATTCAATTTTAGACTATTTTTTCAACTTTTTACCAAATACAGTAAACGAAATTCGACTTCCGCTAACTATAATATTCAGTTAGGCCACACCAATTTAATTTCTTGGTTAACGGATTCGCCCCCTTCATTTATCCTGATTTGCAAATAAAAATAAAAATTCAAAAGAATCAACTGCAAAATGCTCATATTTTGCCCTGAACAGTAGAAAACGACTTCCTTTTCATCCTAGTTGTTATAGTTGTTCCATCTTTCAATGCAACGGTATCATTAAAAGTTAAAAATTCATTGTTTAAATTTTAAACCAGCCTGGTGTGTTGACTTCATGGCTCCTATTGTACCATTTTGGGCCATAATTGGATGCCTAGGCCTGTTTTTTTTTTTCGCCCGCCCGCTCCATTATTTTCCTAGAAAAATCCGTTAACCAAGAAGTTAAATTGGTGTGGCCTTATAGGAGAGATAAAAGCTTAGAACAGATATGTTCTGAAGATAATAGCATACCTTCAACAGCAGGCAAGAAGCTCATGTCAGGATCCACCTCCATCAGACTACTGCTTGCCACTTCATAGTCCCCAGATGGCTCATCTTCGTACATGTTGGAGTAGAACTTCAGTAAGGGAGCAGCACCTGTCTGACTCTTACCACCTGCAATCAATCAAACCTATCAAATAGCTTCCTCTGTTGTTTCTGCCTTTGAAATATGTTTATCTACTTGTTCTTTTTTTTTTTTTAACGGTGACGTTTAATGCAAAGCCAATTATTTTTGGCCACTTCTAGGCATAGAGCTAGAGGTACTTAAGTGAGTATAATGTAGTTATGTCAGGAGATGGCGGTGGACCTTTGTTTTGAAGCTTTGTGGATTGTAATCTTTTCCAGCAAGGTCGTGCTGTAATTCCTGATTTATTTTCTTTGGTGGTTCTTTTATAATTTGCGGCTTTTGCGGTCACTTCTGTACCACAAACTTATCATTCCTAGCCTGTTTTTCAATAATTTGTCGACTTTCTTTTATTCTGCACCTGCCACCACCCTGAAATTATAGCTCCATGAACATGTCAATTTTTCTCAGACCACAAACTTTTGCTACTGCAAACATAAAGTGAATTACATGAAGTATGATCCATTCTTCATCATGAAAGAAAAAAGACCAGAGTATTCTGTTTTAAAGCAATATTGCACACTATGAGGATTACAAAACAATTAAGATTTAAGAAAATACAACGTTACCTGTGTCAGATTTGGCATCATACATGCCTGTCTTGATACTTTCATCTAGACTCATAAGAATGTTCTCCATATCTTCCATCTTTTGCATTTCATCATCTGAAACAGACATATACAAATGTATCAAAGTCGTCCTAAATTTGAGAGAATGCTAAAAGTGCAGTAAAACCAATTCAATTAACTACATTAACCTTCGTAGTTATTGTTTTGAGAGATATCATCCAGATATAATGTTACATTTATTTCTTTACATGGGCATTAAATGGCAAATTTAAAGGATACAGTAATCTGGTGGATATTACTCCTATAATCTTTACAAACAATATTTGTCTTGAATATGCTATGAATTTGGCCATGTGCAGTTATGTTTTTCTTTCAAGGAAGGTACCTAGAGTGTCTTCGGTAGGATCATCCTTCAGCAAATGTTGCTCGGTGGTTGGTGTAGAGGAGTTGTTCGATTGGCCAGGTGGTTTCTTCATGATCTGTTGTATCTCCTCTACAGAGCTGCCACTCAGAAACATCTCATACGGCAGGAGATTCCTGTAAAAACAAGAATTTGGAGATCTCATACCTCCATGAAATATACGAGTTTTTTTCTAAATGTTTTCACACAGTACACTACAATACAGAACAGGTTTTTGGTTTCAAACACAAAGTAGAACCTTTGGCCTGGATAAGTTAATGTAGACTTTTCCTGAGGGAGAACCTCATTAATCAAACCGGGCAGGCGCTGCCTCCACCCCGCACATCTGTTTTCCCTGCCACCCCGCACATCTGTTTTCCCGGAAGTTCTGCTGCAGTACCAAGGTCAGCCAACAGGAGGCCCATATTTGACCTTGACCTTTGGGTTTCTAAGACCTGCCAGAATACCACATATCATCACAATCCATAAAGGCGTTCTGAAGTTATGCTGACTACAAATGTGCGGAAACACACACACACACACACACAGACGCGCCAAAAACAATACCTCCATTTTTCATGGAGGTAAAAAGCAGCAGCTATCAGCATGCAAAACAAAATGAACAAGCACTCCCTCCCAGTTACTTTTGTGCAATCCCCAGTTTCCAAATCTTGAATCATTCATTCCCTCAACCGAAAGGGCAAAGACCTACATGTACATCTACAACTTAAGGAATTAGCTGATGATAGCATGGCTAGAACACAAAGAATGTTAAAACCAAGTGGGGAAGAATCTGTCATGATCCTTTTTATCCACGTACTTGTAGAAATACAATTTGTTTTTCTCCAAAAAAACAATTCTACAGCAGCTGTTAAAAATGTTGTTATCTTCAAATCTTTTCAAGTACTCAGCCATGTTCTCACTTCAGAGGAACAATATGGTACCAATCTTTTAATTTAATGACAATGACATTTCAGTGTCGACCATACCATACTGGAATGTCATTGTAAATTAGAATGATAACTGTTATCAGATATCAATCAGTTTATTTGTTAAAAGACTGGTTTAATATACTGCAGTAAGTACATGTAGGTCTATGTAAGATTACAATATTACAGATCAACGGATGGCATCAAAACAACTTTCAGCACCAAGGACAGAAATCAATTCAGAATCTTTACTTACCGGTAAGAGATACTTTTTATTCTCTTAGAACAGTTTCTTATGATTCTTTGAATATGGCATTTCATTTGACAGGACTATATAAGGCTATATGATACAATAGGATTTTCATGGTATTTAGTTGTAACCACCCTGAAACATAAGGCATGTATTAGGTGGGCTCTAACTTAGCTAGTCGTTACTTTGCACGTCAGCTGGAACCTAACCTTTCGTAGTACTTCTTTGCTGCCTGTCCTCCATGAGAAGCCATGCTGCATTTGGTCAGTACCCTGTAGATTCCTGCCCATCCTCCTGCTTTGCCTCTCTTGGAGAGCTAAAGTTGAGATACAGATCAAATGTGTAACGTGTAAGCTAACAAATCGTAGCTCATATTTATTACAGAGTGAAAGTCAAGTCTAAGTCTTGTAGTCCTGTAATCAAGAGTAAATTTTATGGATTACACCCTCTGCAGACTCCAAATTTAATGCAATAGGGCAAAAAAACAAGGCGGCAAAATTTTTTTTTTGTTATTGTTGTAAATTCGTATTTTAAGTCTGTACTGTATCAATTGTGCCATGATGTATGTGATTCTGTGAATAAAGATACTAAAAAAAATTTAAACAAAGAAAATACCTGGCTGTACCCTCCCTTTTCCATGACAGCTGTGAAGAGTTGATGCAGGCTGACCTTCGAACCATTCCACACTGGTGGTGAGCTGACATGCTTGCCATGGGATGTCAAGAAAGCCCTCACCATCATACCAAAGTCCTTCTCTGTGCATGTGCCAAGATCTGGAGGCTATGATAGAAGAAAAAGCACACAGTTCTGGCCACTATCCGTACAGTATAGATGGTGCCATTTTTAGCTGTTTACTAATTACAGAATTAGTGTTTAACTGTAACTGAGCTGAAACAATGCTGATCTTGAAATCACAAAGAAACGTTCTACAAAAGTGATACGCCAAAAAGCAGTTACTCAAGCAACTGGATATGCTTTTGGAAATGGCCACCTATCTTATTACCTGGATGTCTAACCTTCATTGACCTGCAAAAGTGATACATTGTAGACTTAGAAATTATCTTCATTCTACTAGAAGCTAAAATACTGCTGGTAACCCTTTCTGATATCGTTATCAGGGAAGGTACAATTTATTATGAAATTATAACTATATATATATATTACATGACATGTATCATATGAGCAACTCACCAAAACTGCAAAAGCTGGGCACTGCAAGTCAGTACTTGATACATGCATGCTTTTCTGCTTCTTGTTGCTACTATCAGTATTCTCAGTCTGCCTGTTTCTTGTTGGATGTGAGTTGTTGCTTGATCCTTTCTTTCCTGTGCTTCTCATCCCCATCTCTGTAGACATGATTTTGCTATGTGTATATTCCACATCTGGACTGCTCTTCTCTCTGTACCCTTCAATCATACTAGAATTATTACTAGTAACTATTCATTAAATGATGAAGTTTCCAGTGACCAGTTGTGTGTTCTCCATTACATCATCCACCTAAGGCCACATCAATTTAATTTCTTGGTTAACGGATTCGCCCGCTTCATTTTTTTCTGATTTGCAAATAAAAATAAAAATTCAGAATCAACTGCAAAATGCCCTGAACAGTTAAAAACCGTCCTTTTCATCCTAGTTGTTACAGTAACTGTTATTCCATCTATCAATGCAATGGTATCATTAAAAGTTCAAAATTCATTGTTTAAATTTTGAACCAGCCTGGTGTGTTGACTTCATGGCTCCTATCGTACCATTTTGGGCCATAACAGGATGCCTAGGCCTGTTTGATTCTTATTTTTTTGCCTGCCCGCTCCATTATTTTCCTAGAAAAATGCGTTAACCAAGAAATTAAATTGGTGTGGCCTAAAGTCACATTTTCAAATACACGGTTGTCTGGATGCTATAAGGAAATCAGTCTTATTCTGCCTGCTGAAATGTATCATACTAGTTTATATAATATATCCTAACAGCAACAAAAGTTTAAATCTACTTTTTGTGAAGAAGAACTTTAAATGTTCGCTGTGAGGAATTTACCTTTCAACTCCGTTGAGCTGCCATTCTCTGATTCTCCTGTTGTCCTCTGAGACCACTTGAAATGACATCTCTGTAATCTCTGCTCATTTGTAAGGCTCATCAGGTAGTCTGCTTCCTTGACAGCAGTGTTCAGTTTCTTCTGTTTCAGAGTTGGGCCTGTCTTTGGAGTTGTCAATTTCAGGCAAGGGTTCCTTCTTCCTTTCTTTCTCGTCTTTGACTGTGCTACCTGTGTAACATAATTTTTGTATCTTACTTTCAAACATAAAAAAAGAGACTGTAGCTTTTCCATATCATACTCAACTTGTCCACTTTATCAGGACTTCATTCTTCCTAATTATGCTCCTTTACCATTTCTTTTAAGAAATAAACTGATTGATATCTGACAACAGTTATCATTCTAATTAATTAACAATGACATTTCAGTATGGCGCGCAGTGTCACCCAATATTACCATTTATTTCAAACAATTTTATACCAATCCTGAACTGTAAAGACCATCTGTGTGTGTTTGACAATACTATGCAATGTTATCATGCATCAATAATGTAAAAATCACTCAACTGCAACAGGGGCCGACATCGTCTACCAGATACCTTTGACCCAGTGTTAACGTCACACTTCAAAGAAGCCACGTGACAAGCCTCACTGGGTCAGTCTACTGATGAAGACCAGAGTGACTAGTCGAAAGCTCTAGTTGAGTGAACTTTTTGTGTTGGATCAAAATTTTAACTTTAAACATGTAAAAATCAAACCTGTGCAACATTTGGTGCTGCATCTTTCTTTCCGTAAATGTCCACCCTCCTGTAGCTGCACCAGCTGTGAGAGGGTTTGGGGCCAAGAAACTCCACATGGTACCAGGTGATGTCCCCATCCTCATCCACCTCTGTGTGTTCTCCACTCTCTGGGTCAGGGGTCAACACAGCTGGCCAACTAGGGCAGCAAAAATGACTTAAGCCTCTGTTACAACCCGCCGTACGTGCTTCTGCGTGCTGTCTACGAGCAAAAGCGTGGGCAAACGTAGGGGATCCGTAAGTGGTGAGTACCACCTCCACACGGAATCCTACGGATTTGGGAGCACGCAGACACGCCGTAGAACTTTAAGTGCATGTAAAACTTTTTCTGCGTGCTGTCTGCGGATTCACCACCCGTATGTGAGAGTACAGGCGACGAGCGTGACCCGTACAGCCTATGAGCGTACAACGCACTCAACGCTGTCTATCAACGTTGATGGATTGCTTTAAAAGTTTTTTGCACGCCATAAAGTTCCTGAAATTGATGGAAAAACTGGTGCTGGCTAGAACCCTGCATTTCACACACCTACCATCTGTAACAGTGGGGGTGTGAACCCACAGGATAGAGGCAAAAATGGCAGGCTGCCATCAAGCCTCAGCGTCAATGTGCAAGCACTTCTAAACCCATTGACAAGGAACAACAGACTGATGATAAACCGGATAAGTGAGCCAGCAAGTTACTATATTTCATATTCTAACAGAAACTTGGTTCATACCACAGTCCACACCAGAAACTCACCTGAGTAAATCTGGAACAGAACATCAGAACTTACCTGGCAAAGCCATCTAAACGTGCCCAGACAAGACTTCCCACAGCTATCTCACTACACACGTAGCGCAGTCCGTACTTCTGTGCTTTCCTCTCATCATGGGTTTCCTCCACATCTGTACAGCTGTAGCCAAGAACCAAAAGCTTGATGTGATTTCCTCACAAAATGTAGCACTGTAGTCATTTAATCATTCAGTCTCACTAGTACTACAAGTCTCTTCAATAATAAAATGAAACATTGTTTCTGCTACAAAGGCCTTGCAGAATTATACGGTAACTCTTAATTGGTTACAGGTCTTTGCTTAATATTCTTATGGAACATCATTCAAACGTCTACAATAAACCTGATTTAAAAGTGACTCTAACCTGTTATGTTCAGAGTCAGTATTCAGACGACACAGCCAGTCCTTATTTGCATATTCAGTTGCTACTTCCTTTGCTACTCTTCTCCACTTGGAACATTTGTCACATTGTATCCATGCCTCATGCTCAAGCTGTAGAGGAAACAGTCATATTGTGAACAATTGCTTAATCCCAATCATTTGTGGGATGTCTGTTTATATTTGTCATGGTTTTCTTCATGATAAATATAAGGCCACACCAATTTAATTTCATGGTTAACGGATTTTTCCAGAAAAATAATGGAGCGGGCATGCGGAAAAAAAATAAAAATAAAAACAGGCCTAGGCATCCTGTTATGGCCCAAAATTGTACGATAGGAGCCATGAAGTCAACACACCAGGATGGTTCAAAATTTAAACAATGAATTTTGAACTTTTAATGATACCATTGCATTGAAAGAAGGAATAACTGTAACAACTAGGATGAAAAGGCCTGTTTTCAACTGTTCAGGGCAAAATATGAGCATTTTGCAGATGATTTTGAATTTTTATTTTTATTTGCAAATCAGAAAAAAATGAAGCGGGCGAATCCGTTAACCAAGAAATTAAATTGGTGTGGCCTAATGGCTAGATGATACATTAGTTTTTACTTTGCTAGTTCTGATAAATCACTTTAAGACTTGTTCTGACAACATTTATAAATACATATAATGTTATATGTGAAATTATATCAATAGGGGCTGTACTACTCACCTCCATGGAGCTAGCTCCATGGAGCTAGCTCCATGGAGGTAAGTACTTCAGCCCTGAGGCAGATTTTTTCCAGCTCCATGGAGCTAGCTCTACGCACTAGTACTATGAATGCATATGCCTGGTTCACGTCACCTTCAAGAAAAATTCATATACATGGTTCACGTCACTTCAAGAAAACAAACCAGCGCTATAAATGTCTTGAGAAATAAACAGCCCCGTGCACAAAGAACACGCATGGTTCACGTCACTTACAATGAAGAAATCATGCTCTAGAATATATCGTGTTTAAACTTGATACGGCCCCACGCACTGAGAACGATACATGTACACACAGTGCCGGCCGGTCTTCTCAGAGGCTGTTTTGCCCACAGAGCTAGCTCCACGCACTTTGAATGCATATACATGTTTCACGTCACCTTCAAGATAAATACATAAACGTGCTTCGCGTTGCCGTCAAAAAATACCACGCTCCAGAAAATGGTTAGATCGGTGTATTGTTATTTGTAAATCTTGAATAATCGTGTTTGGTGGTGTTCTATGCGGCCCCACACACTGAGAACGATACATGTACACACAGTGCCGGTCTTGTCGAGGCTGTTTTGCTAGCTCCACGCACTTTGAATGCATATACATGTTTCACGTCACCTTCAAGATAAATACATAAACGTGCTTCCCGTTTCCTTAAAAAAAATACCACGCTCCAGAAAATGGTTAGATCGGTGTATTGTCATTTGTAAATCTCGGATAATCGTTTTTGGTGGTGTTCTATGCGGCCCCACACACTGAGAACGATACATGTACACACAGTGCCGGTCTTGTCGAGGCTGTTTTGCTGGCTCCACGCACTTTGAATGCATATACATGTTTCACGTCACCTTCAAGATAAATACATAAACGTGCTTCGCGTTGCCTTCAAAAAATACCACGCTCCAGAAAATGGTTAGATCGGTGTATTGTCATTTGCAAATCTTGGATAATCGTCAGGGGTTTTTCTAGAAAAATTTAGCATGAGGGAGCAGATCGCAAGCATGGCGAGGAACGAAGTGACCGAGGGGGGATTTTTTAATGAGTAACATTCACAAGGGTTCAATTTGAAAATTGGTATGAGGGAGCTGGCTGGTTACATGAGGGAGCAGCTCCCTTATTCCCCTGTTTAGAAAAACCCCTGATCGTTTTTGGTGGTGTTCTATGCGGCCCCACACACTGAGAACGATACATGTACACACAGTGCCGGTCTGGTCGAGGCTGTTTTGCTAGCTCCACGCACTTTGAATGCATATACATGTTTCACGTAACCTTCAAGATAAATACATAAACGTGCTTCCCGTTGCCTTCAAAAAATACCACACTCCAGAAAATGGTTAGATCGGTGTATTGTCATTTGCAAATCTTGGATAATCGTTTTTGGTGGTGTTCTATGCGGCCCCACGCACTGAGAACGATACATGTACACACAGTGCCGGTCTTCTCAGAGGCTGTTTTGCCCACAGAGCTAGCTCCACGCACTTTGAATGCATATACATGTTTCACGTCACCTTCAATATAAATACATAAACGTGCTTCCCGTTTCCTTAAAAAAATACCACGCTCCAGAAAATGGTACAGAAAATTGTTTGCATCGGTTTACTAGTATTGGTATTTATAAATCTTGGATGATCGTGTTTGATACTAGTTATGTTACGGCAAGGCTGTCCTTGTGTATTGATTGACTATATACACTATACTTAATTTTGTGACGCAAACCATGTGTTGGAATTCATACTGCGTTTATTTGAGCTCTCCAGTTTAAAAGTTGTCGGGACCTCATCCTGACCACGATATCGATGTCACCTAATGACCTATGTCAACGATTGGTACAGAGATGCGATTTTCTGCAATCTATCGTGGCTCAGCTTGCGAACAATGGTGGTGTTCATTTTAGAACTGACAATACGATAATACAATAAGAAAACATGATATCGAAAGGAAAAAGCCCGGTTGAGGCCATTGACATTGTGAAATATAGAATTTTCAGTATTCACGGCGTTGGTTTCCATTACGCCTTCTTTAGTTGACAAATAATGAACGGTCCCCGGGCCCACAAACAAAGGGGACAAGCGACAGATAATGAACGGTCCTCGGGCCCAAAAACAAAGGGGACAAGCGACACTAATTAATAACAGGCTATTTTCACTGTTTGTCTTTAGAGGGAATTCATTTAAGTGTAAAGGCGGGATTTGAGCTCTGCTAAATCAAGGTTATCCCTTTGGCCGAGGAGGTTTAACTTCATTGTTTTGGCTAAATCCCGACAACGAAAGCAATACGTCACCTAATGACATTTGTCAACTGCTTAGGGTCGATTGGCACGGAAGTGCTAATTCCTTCACTCCTTTCGTGTCTTCTTCTTCTTCTGTCTCAGCTTGCAGTGTTCGTTTCTTATATCTAAACAGGATATCGAAAAAAGGGGGGAATTTCCACTGTTCACAGCGTTATTCTGTATTCATTTTTTTCAGTACAAACGGACACATAAGTGTAAAACCTTTGTCTAGACGGACACAATTAGAGTTGTTTACGACCTTCCTGTCATAAAATAATCTGTTAAAACATCTCTTTTGTATCCTTTATTCACCGTATTTCACACGCACATGGTGACGCGGTTTTTGATATTGACAACGCGAAGAACACGATGCAGCTACAGGCCGGATGGGTATCGGAAAAGATCAAAGAACAATTTCCCAGAAAACATTTTTCCATTCCTACATAATGGTCTAGCTTAAGCATAACATAAAAAAGCACACTCTGCTGAAGTACATTCATAGTACATGGAGCCAGCTGTATTGAGCTAGCTCTATAAAGGTCTATTGTTTTCTTGAAGGTGATATGAACCATGCATATGCATTTGTAAGAAGCAGCCAAAGAGAGAGGTGGAGCATACTGCATAGATCTGGCTCTATGGAGTTAGCTCTATAGAGGTCGTTTTTTTCTTGAAGGTGACGTGAACCAAGCATATGCATTCATAGTGCATTGAGCTGGCTCTAGGGACCTACTAGCTCTATAGTGGTCATTTCATTTTTTTATGAAGGTGACGTGAACTAAGCATATGATTCCATAGTAAATATGGAGGCAGCTCTATGGAGTTACAAAGCAACCTGCCTCAGGGCTGCATTAATCACCTCCTTGGAGCCAGCTCTAAAGGGGTCATTTTTTTCTCCTTGAAGGTGACGTGAATCACGTATATGCATTCAAAGTGCATGGAGCTAGCTCTATAGAGGCCAAATTTTTTTTGAAGGTGACGTGAACCATGCATATGCATATATAAGCGAGAAGAAGTCGATCCTGTAAACAATAGTATTATTTAGTTTTTCTTCATGACCTGTACTTAGCTCGAAAGAGCATAAATGTGCAATAAAGGTCTTTCATTCATTCATAGTGCATGGATCTGGCTCTAAGGAGTTAGCTCTATAGACGTCAATTTCTTTTTTCTTGAAGGTGACGTGAACCACGCATATGCATTCATAGTGCATGGAGCTAGCTCTATAGAGGTCAATTTTTCTAAGGTGACGTGAACCATGTATATGCATTCATAGTGCGTAGAGCTAGCTCCATGGAGCCGATTAGTACAGCCCCTATTGTTTTTTCTGTTTTTTCTTGAAGGTGACGTGAACCATGTATATGCATTTTTCTTGAAGGTGACGTGAACCACGTATATGCATTCATAGTGCATAGAGCTAGCTCCATGGAGCTGGAAATTAATCTGCCGCAGGGCTGTACTACTCACCTCCATGGAGCTAGCTCCATGGAGCTAGCTCCATGGAGGTAAGTACTACAGCCCCTTCTCAATTATATACATTGGTTACAGTTAATCATACATTTTGCATCTCAAGTTGTCAACCCTATATTTTAACACTAAATCATTGTTTTAGTGACAGGTCGGAGTTCTAACAAGAACACTGTAAATTACCTGAATTCTTGCCTCCTCTTTGAGTACATCATCTGACTGATTCTCCTCCTCAGATGAACTATCTGACTGGTCGTTGGCAGTTTTCTCTGTGTCTGCTTCCCTCTTCCCTATGTCCTCACAGAACACTGGTCCTGACCAGCAGAGGGACATTGTTTCAGAGGGAACCAGGGCTCAAAATGAAAGGTGGTCCGATGGTCACTGACCACTAAATTTTAGGCTGGGACAACTAAATAGACACTTTGGGACATTTTTGGTACAATAGAAAAATAATCAACATCAGAAAATAAAGTTGACTTCAAACTGAAGTCTGATAATACAATACTTCCCAAAAAAAAGGTTGGGACACAGTTCATCCTCACTTCAGGACAATTGAAATTTATTTTTGGGTCAGTGCTGGGACAATAGGAAGAAAGTTAATTTGAGGCCTGGGGATTCAGTGGGGAACCAAAAAATATATATATCTGTGATGTTTCTTGACTGATCTGACAATACTTCTCTTTACTTCGCAAAAGGAAAAAATTAAACTGTATTGCCATCAAAAATATGTATCTTTGTACTGATTTGAGTATTCTGTTAATATATTCTGATCAGAGGCATCATATAAATGCAAAATTGAATGTTATGACCAACATATGAATAGAACAAATAATAGTATGACTGAATACACATGTACATTGAGCTCTCAACTATAAACTAAAAGCCTGGCTAGGTTTATGATTCTTACCTTTTTTGGACCTGAGAGTTATACTTTGACTTCTCAGCTGAGCGAATATCTCCTCTGTCCAGTCCTTGATCTGTGGCATGGTGACAACTGACTAGGACCTGCACAGCTCTGTCCCAGCCTAAAATGTTTTGTCAATCTGTTATTGGCAGCAAACGGGGAAAGATAAAAATTCAAACATTTCAAAGAAGTTACATGTATATCATACTGAGTATAAATATTGGCCAGGAATAAAAGAAAAACATATTGTTATAAGTCTTAGGAACTACTAGCAAATACATTATGTCTAATCTAAGTCTTGAAGATTTCTTCTCTCTTTTTAAAGCAATTGTAGATGAATTCACATAGTTTTTTTATTGTGTATAAGCAATGCATAATTGATCCTTATTCAGATTATCAAGGGCTCACACAACTGCCGCCAAAACTTGACCTTTGACCGCAACATTCAAATGACAGAGACAATGTTTTCGTTAACCTCTAATAGTTTTAAAGACAGTTAGTATCTTTCGCTCTCACGTTAGAATTAAGAGCAAGGTGGATTCCGGTAATATGATGGCTAGGTCACTCTAAAAAAGACATCACTTAGATTTTAGAATATTGTCGAGAAAGCGACGATAGCTACGATCAGAAAATTATCACGAACTTTGATTACTTCAAAACACACAAAATGTAACTTCTAGTCCTTTAAGTTTGGTTCAAAGAGCTCAAGTAGATGATGATAGTGCCCTGTAACGTAATGTGACAAAGAGAGCACTAATGGTATGGATATAAAGTAACGTTTTTTACCTCATTTATTCTACTCCGTCTCAGATGGATGACACTGCACTCGCAGTCCGTCTGTGTTCGATCCCATCAGACTTTGCGGTTATTCAATGTTTTTTACTCCAAATATCATCGCAATATGTCAGCCGAGTGTTCTATGCAAACTGTTGTGTCAGGCCAGACTTGGTCTAAATGTCCTTTTCAGTGGTCTGAATCAACATTTTTCCGCCTGTACAGACATGACTCTGTGAAACATAACTTATGAAGGTCTTTCTGTTTTTATGTTTGCATGAAAACCTAAATCTCCAAGCAGATCTTTTGGTGGCTGCAGTATCAAATTGGCCAGGTAGTAAAGTTGAACTATGCCACCCCTGGCTGGCATTTTTAAAAAAAATGATACTAGTACAAAAAGGCCGAATAAAATGCCTAAAATAGAACGTCAAAAAATAAACCTCTGCATGGAGAGTGATGAACACCTCAGTTCATGAAAATGCTGCAGCATGGACTGCAGTACTGATGACGGTAGATAGGAGTCGCTGTGACACCGTCGCAGTGTTTCCAAACGGACACACGTCAACCGTGCTTACTGTGCTGTGTTCTACCGTAGTACATATGCTCATTGGGAAAACGCAGTCTTTGCAGCCTCAAGAACTGGTCAACTTTGAACAGATATTTCATATTGTATGCTGAAATGTGCCGTTGTTTAAAGGGATGGATAAAAATACAAGATTTCCACAAAGACTTCTTTTCATTTAATACAAACCAGTGATGATTCGTCCTCAATTCCTTAAATGATCATCAGCTGAGCTCAATAAGTACTCTATATTTTCAACCATCTGGCTTTCATTGTATTTGCCAGCAAAGTGCTGGCTAAAGAAAGTCTGCAAATTAGTATGTGAATAAGTTTCAAAGTCAACAGCTTCTGTTGCTGCATAATATATAAGATAGAACTGTTACAGCCCATTTTAGTGAACAAACAAATTATCCTTCTTATACCTAAAAACTTATTTATGAAGTGGACCTTCACAGTGTCAGTTCTTATCATTCAATGAGCAAAGTCTTTATTGATAGACCATTTTATTTATTCAAAACTTCATGTATGTAAACGCAATTCATACATAGTCAATGTCAACAATGAAAATAGTCTTAAAATTTCTGAAGAGTTGAAGTAAGTAACATTACATTACAAAGTGGTGGAATACAATACATCTGCGGGATAACAGTACAAGTACACTGCACTTAAATCACATTGAAAGAAAAGTAAACTGGTTTTGTTATAACATTAAAATATTGCTTTAATAAAATAAGACTGGACAGCAGGTATGACTTTACACATGTTGTTGGGCTGACACCATAAGCCAATCATAACTTTAGAGCAAAAATTTGTCACAACGTTAGAGTAAAAATTTGTCTCCATTGATTGAAGTGTTCATACCTTTTTAAAACAGGATGTCATTCAGATTATGTTTAATATAACACAATAAACATTAAGAACTTGTCTTTTCATGTATGAAGAACATAAAAATTGTAATGGCAAATATGATTTTGACTGATTATGTACCAACAGCATGTACTACCATGTAGCAAATGCTGGTGAATTTCAATATCTCTCATTATAATCATGTCAGACGATTATTCATGACCTAACTCTAGTCTTTAAAAATGTTATTAATGATCTTTTATTCCATCTACTTCAGTGGTTTTCTAAACTTGCTCAATAGCCAGACCCTGTACATCTTGACCTGTCGACCCCGGTTGACCTGCAGTCTTCTGTCCACATAGATCAGTTCTTCCTGTAAACCAGCGGAGCCAAACAGTGTCCTGAGTTCATCTGGAGATGTGGGAAAAGAAGTTATGATCATTAAAAATGAATCTTTGACAACTCACATTGCATAAAAACTGTTCATTTATCTGTTTATGAAGATTTACCACATTTGTGGAAGGATTGACATAACAGGTGAATATTATCTCTTCAATATGTCAACCATGAGACCAGACTGAACCACTCACACAGGGAAGGACCCCGGCTCTTTTTGATAAGTTTGGTGGGATCTTTAACATGCTCAAGGTGTGGCTCTATTTAAACATCCCACTTATCTGCAGCTGTCCCTAACCAAAGCTAGGTACTCATTTTTAACTGAGTCAAGTGAGGAAATAGCTGGTATTTGACTTTCCCAAGAGCCAAACAAACGGGCCTGCCAGGGATTCAAACCCAGAGTTCTGAGTCAACAACCCTAACCAAAAGACCACCTTGCTACCTTTGTCAAAGGCTAAAAATCTACCTGCCCTTCATACATAACTGTAAACTGAGAACTACACTCTATTATTCAGATGAAAATAGACCAGGAGTAACACAGCTCGAAATTAACTTTTCTTCCTATTGTCCAAGCACTGTCCCAAAGATAAATTTCAATTATCCCGAAGTGAGGATGAACTGTCCCAACCTGTTTTTGGAAAGTATTGTAACTTCAACTTGAAGTCAACTTTATTTTGCTTATGTTCACTCCCAGGTCCACTATAAGTAGACATCCAAAAGTTGGGACGTGTGCCTGATAAACAAAAGAAGGGCTGACATTCTGATGTTGAATATTTTTCTATTGTCCCAACAATGTCCAAAAGTGTCTTTTTAGTTGTCCCAGCCTAAAGTTTAGTGGTCAATGGCCATTGGACCACCTTTAATTTTGAGCCCTGCACTAAAATGCTTGCTGAGACACATCATGTGTTACCTTGTGTGAAAAAGTAGACCCGTGTGCCGTCACCCCTGACATAAAAGTTGTCCGAAAGACAGCGTCCTAGGAGGTGGAATAAAAACATCAAATTTCAAATACATCAAGACATCATTTAAAATAGAAATGTACACTAAGGCCACACCAATTTATTTCCTTGGTTAACGGATTCGCCGCTTGCTTTTTTTGCCGAATGAAAATAAAAATAAAAAACGTAATAGTTTAGACCCCACAGGCCGGTAATACCCTGAACAGGGAGACCCCAATGAAATTGCTGCAGTTCATACCAATGTCGCTAGAGGCGCTCCTGCACACGTAGTCACATGACGTAAAGTAGCCAATCGTGGATTGTTTTACTTTCTGACCAATCAGATGCGATGTTCTGGAACCATGTTGGCTCAGTCATTTGTTTTGTTCTCCTGCATGGCGGGAGCCTCATGGCGTACAAAATTTGTGGCGGAAGCTTAAATTGTTTGAGAAAGCTGGAACTTTGGATCAAGGCAGAATCTAGGTACAGTACATGTAAAATTGAATAAATTTTGTCCCCTTTAAAGTTAAAATTGCTTGTGAGAGTTAACATTCGTGTCATGTTTTAGAGTACATATGATGATGGTGGAACTTGGAAGTAACATGCTAAAACTTGTTTTCTGCATTTTGCTCGTGTACGAAAAGATTATCAACCCAATGGTGTGGATAGCAAATAAAACACAATACGGTACATCCTCTCTTGTCTTTTGTTTCTTTCCCAGTATTTTCGTAACTTAATAAGCAGTCTGGATTTCACACTACATGGCTGTATGGCAGGTAGTATCAAATTCTTATTTTTATTTTTTTTTCGCCCGCCCGCTCCATTTTTTTTTTCTACAAAAATCCGTTAACCAAGAAAATAAATTGGTGTGGCCTAATACTAGTTTTTATGCTATCTCACACAAAATAGAAGAATATAAACATAGCTACACTAGTACTGCAGTGACCAAATTCCTGATTATTTGTTTTCAATCATGTCTATACGGCCAAGATTTATAATTTACTTTTTGTAGGACAACATGCAGAGATTTGTTGGTTTGGTAACACTGTTGTCTTTTTGTTGATTCAATTCAATTCATTTTGTGTTAGTTAGTGTTTACTTTTAGTTCAACTTTTCATGATTTTCATCACCATATAGAACTATATTTGAACCATCAGCTGAGATACATTGTATAATTAAAAAAATATATTATTTTACACTATAAACATCTTTAAGTTTTTTTGTACACAAGCAGACTGTATCCAAGTTTTTTTTGGCCAGTGCATTGAAGGGCCTTTAGGTTACCTTTCTTAAACCTGAGTTGTGCCAAGTCGTATCTCCCATAGTCCCTGAACAGAAGCTTTCCTCCTGGCTTCAGGTACTTTGCAAGGTGGTCCACAGTGGATTGCATTCTGTGAAGAGCAGAAATTTCATATGAAATAGTAGATCACAAGATATCCAAACCGGAAGTTCAGCTGCAGTACCATAACAAGCTGCTAGGGGGTCCAAAATTTAATCATTTTGAGATCTCATCAAGAGCTACCCAACTACCAAGTATCAAAACAATCCATTTAAGCCTTCTCAAGTTATCGTGTCTACAGACACACACACACACACACACACACACAAACACATATACGAATGCCTCTGAAAACATAACCTTCTTGGCGAAGGTAACAATGTATACTGGTGGTATTTACAAGGTTACCACATTAAAAATGATGAAAGATTTTTGATCAATGGATTTGCAAAATGATGTAGATTTTTCTGATAACTGATTTGTATCAGTAGACAAGTTAGTCAACAAATCATAAACTTGATGTTCAGAAGACAAACATTTTGATGCAATGTTCTCGAAAGCCTATTCGAAACATCCATTCTTCAACTATGTGTATACTGTGGTGTGTGTCCTTGCAAAACATCACCAGTCTATGATTATAGTATGAATACATGATTTATCAAACATGTTGCTTAGCTAGAGTTACTAAATGATAATAAATAATGTACAGACATCATCTTAGAAGATGATTGAAAACTTACTTGTCTGGATGGATGGCTGACAGTACAAATATCATGATGATGATGTCTAAGCTGGCCTCAGGGAAGGGTAGAGGAGAGGTGGTGTCTGTCAGGTCATGGACAAAGGCATGGCATCTCCTGCTGGTGTAGTCTGGGTGTTGCTGAGAGGGAAGATACAGTATCAACAGGAATAGTCAGATGCAGGGCTCAAGCCAACTCAATTTTTTTTCTATCAGCCCAGGTTCATCATCTGACCTGATGGGAGTATGCTCACCATCTAGGGTGGGTCAGGAGGCATATTTTGGGTTTTCAGGCCTTTAAAAATGCGATTTCCCACGTTTTGAGAGGCAAATCATGGGGTTGAGAGTGGTTGTTGTTGGTCCTTTATGAATGTCTTTATATTCTTACTCAAGATTTTTGTCAATCTTGTCCATCAAGGTTGACGAATTGGTTTATACATTCAAGTAACTCTTTCTTTCACACGCCACAAAGTTCCTGCAATTGACAGAAAAATGGGTGCTGGCTAGAGCCCAGGTTGGATGTATCAGTTGTATACAGCTTACAGAACTTTTCTTAAATAGTAGTGGCAACAGAGCTATTACTACTAGTACATAGTCTCTACCTAATTGTTATATCAGGTCAATATGAAGTATTCAGTAGCCAATTGCTCATCCCAAATTGTGTGACTATTAAAGGACCCATATATAAAGTGACCATACATAAAGTGTGCTCACCTTAACAATATCAATTGCTGTAGCAGAAAAGTCACAGCAATACATGAAGAGGCCAGGATCACTGTATAAATAAAATCCATTGGTTAACAGCATGCAGTAAACATACCTATAGCAAATACTGGCTTTGTTGGTGTAGTATCAAGTACAGTGAGTAACAAATCTTCCCCTTCCTTTTGTTTCAAATTTTCTAACTACTAGGCACGGCAAGGTATTTTGTTGACTTAACAATACAGTATGTATTTGTAATATTCCTTCCTTCATCATCCTAATCCTTCAACATTATATTAAAGCCTACATTTTATACTTACTTGTTTGTCTGAAGAATAGGAAACACTGTATTGCCAACCCCACAGCCAACCTGCAAGGCAGAAATTTAAAAAAAATGTTCAGTATTCAAGTCCTACCATAGGCCATGTAAACTGGATATTTGAAATAAAATAAATAATACATTGAAGGGCAATACAAGTTTCTTCAATATGCCACAAATTTAGAACAAGCAATATACATGTTCACTTGTTATCAATCTTTATACACTGTTTCTTTTCTGCTATCTGCTATTAGTCATTACGCCACAGCAAGTAAATTTTATGGGTGACATCCTCCGCAGACTCCAAATCTAATGCGAGCGGGCAAAAAAAAAAAACAAGGTTCCTACATTTTAGAATTTTGACTCAACCATTGTACAAATGGTTTTGATTCGGTGGGAACATCACATAATATACACAGCCAACATCACATATCACTGCATCAAAGTAAGAAGCAAAACATTAAATCAGAGTCTTTTCTCGTCTCCTCTCTTCATAGTTATCTGCCATCCACCTTCTGGCATGGCAACAGACATCTTTGCCCATTTTTGGCATATTGACAACTGTCAGAAGGCAACAAAATTTCTTTTTTTTTCCAAAATCAGGCAGAAATTAATGCGCGCGCTGATGTCATCCATAAAAATTCCTTGCTGTGGCCTTAGCATAACAATCAAAAGGTCCTGACTTCAAACATCCTAGTGCTGGCATGTTGTCCAGGGAAGTCCTCAGCCTTGTCTTCCTCACCACTACCCCTCACAGCCAGCTGGTCCAGGGTTTGGCAAATGTCACCAAGAACAGCATGGTTTTGACTCCCAAAGTCTTCTACAGGCTTGTGTGTTGAGTCGGGGGACATGTTTGTTAGCTCTGTTGTAAGATTAGTCCTCTCTGTATCCCCTTCAGCCACTGTGGAAGCACAAGTATCTTCTTCCACGCTTGCTCTCTCCTTGTCCTTGTCAGAGAGTGCGGCTGCAGTGCCTGTCACCTTCTCTCCGTCTGAATTACAGACTTCTCCCTTTACCTCTCTTTCCTTCCCCTCATCTCTATTCATGTCCAACTCGGGGAACTCGGTGAAGAGCCAGTGTCTGTCTTTGAAGAATCTGTTCTGGTGTATGGAGTAGAATCCGTTCCAGAATTCATCTGCCTTTGCTTCGTATGCTTCTGTAGGACAAAAGCAGGAAGATTTTTACCTCCGGGGGAGGAGACATCCTTCCACGGAAGGGTTTTGTGAGAGATTTAGATTTTCATGTTCGCAGCTGTTCCTCGAGTTTGGGTGGGCGGGTTCTTTTGAGACTCGGTGTATGTTTTGCTATTGGGCTGCAGATGATGCACATTCTTTTGTTTTTATTGTATATGTGTTTTCGGGCGTGAAAATGGTGCCTTTTGGTGGCCCCAAAACACCCCTTTGAGCGTGAAAGTGGTCGCGACCGTTGACCTTTGGCGTGTTTAAGCTATTCTCGGTCTGGTCTCGATAAATTCTTTGTTAAAACCCTATATAAAAATGTACAATAAAAAGCCCGGAGGTATAAAATCTCAGATTTTACTTGTTACCATCTTTCCTTTCACAGCTGCAAATATGATATAGATACATACACAACACTAGCATAGTAAAGATATGTTAGCTGCTTTTGTCAGAATTGTACAAACCTTGCAGATCAGGAGGAACTGGGTCCTGGGCGTTTTCCCTGACTTTCTGCTTTGCCTGAGCATCCTGAGCTTCATCCCATTCCACATTGTCCCTGATAGAAGTACATGAACAACATTAACGATTAATAACACCATACATTTCACACCTATGCTGCATTCGTAGTCTGTGTCCTATATTAACTATAGGAAGATTATGCTTAACAAATCTATGGATAACAAATACTAGTACATGTAGTATACCTTTGAAGTCTTTCTGTGAGATTTAATTGTATGTACTTCATGGGGACAGCCCTTTCAAACTAATCAAAGTTCTGGGACACCAAGGTTTGGCACATTTCAAAATCTCATTGCATAATTTGTGTCTTCTCCCAGGTGGGTATGAGATAAATATACAACATGATGTATTCTGCATCATGTCAAATTCTGCCCTTAAGCCTTTCCGTGGGTCAGATCCAGCTTTCGACTGCAGCAGGTATTATAGTACCTCAATTGGGCTGATTCAGAATATAACATGTTATATTCTAATCTACATTCAAAATTACATTGACATGATGGGTCGACACATATCCCTAACTTACCAGCTGTTATGTTCAAATACTCTGCTTGGGTCTGTGAGGTAGCGATCGCCAAACGGAGGTCGCTTGCGAGTCCGTGTGTGACAGCAGCGTACATGTACACGCACACACACCAACCGCCTGACTAACAGGGGAAGGACAGCCAAACAACCCCTCATCCTAGCTTCTCTAGCACGTCTGCAATGTGACAGGAAACGAAGAAAATATTCCTGAATATTTTGTAATCAGAAAGAAATTGTCATCATATCCGTTTGTAAATTCAAGGTTAAAATTATAAACAAAAGTTCCTAATTAAAGCTCCTTGGTATTGTATACCAGTAGTCTAGCAGTAGATATTTGAACGTTGAAGCAGAATTTGAACTTTCTTCGTCCCCTTTTCATTGAGACTGCAGCTAGCAACAACGTATGGCTTGTAAGCACGATTCAAGAGTCGCCACGGGCACGGCTAGGTCAATAGAAATATACACCTTGGGAGCTCAGTAAATGTATTCAAGACCAAGTTGGCTATAGAGTGGAAGGATCACCCTGATAGGTACGGATACGTCTTCTCCTACCGAATGCCCAAACTGTCTACACCACGAAGACGGCCTCATTACCCAGTAAGGGTACCTAAATTATGGCCTGGATTCAGGTGAATATTCAGGTGAGATGTTGAATCAACTGTACTCCACAGTACTCTAGCCTGAGTGCCAGCCTTTTAGCTTAGTCTGCTCTAAATTATCTATGCTCTGATCTACTGAAACATCCTAACGTAAGTAACTAAGCTAAGGAAACCTAGTCTGGGTGCCTGTCACCCAGACACAAAGTATCTCATGATCCGTGAGTGCTAGAAACCGGCCAGATGAGAGTGCCTAAATTCACACGCATTTTCTCCCCAGTCGGCGCTCAGATCACATCGTTTCTGAACCCACTGCTATCTCTTGACTATGAAGACTGGTTCCCCTACCATGCGTTATGCTGGAACACCTGTGTGGGGTCGTGCAGACGCCTGTTTCCCCATGCTGGCCGTCTCTCTTCTTCATTTTCACCTGGGGAAGCCATGCTGATGATGATGATTGCTAAAGGCCTCCCGCGGAGACCAGAGTATTCCAAACCAAAATAGGGGTCAATTTTTCGATGGGGTCATGTACATGTTCAACAAAAACAAATAAAAATGCAAATACATTAAAGCTAAATATTTATACATATCGTCACTGTTTAGTAGCTACAAAAATGTATGTTTGCATAAATTATTAAAGCTAATAATTTTCACAAGAACTTGATTCTCCCTTAAAGCATAGTGGTATAGTCGATTTTTAATCCAAGATGGTGGCCCTGTGTTGGAACATGTGCTGAAGCTACAGCAAATTCCATCGTCTTTTTCTCAGATTTTCCCGTGAAAATTCCAAGATGCAACACGACGACGTGATCTGGAGTGTCATCAACAAGGGCTTCTGCTCGTTCAAGGTGAAGACGAAGAGTCAGAAGTTCTGCAGGAATGAGTACAGTTTGACAGGGTTGTGCAACCGCGGGTCGTGTCCGCTGGCCAACAGTCAGTATGCAACAGTGAGGTGAGATCTTCTTTCCTTTTAAAGGCATCCAGTGCAGTTTTTAGGGCTTGGAAACCTGATTTTTCAAAGCCAATATTCTAGCCATTTGTCTACATAATGAGTTGAAAACACACTTTCCCAATTTGTATACTGACCCTCATGGAGCAAAAATCCCCAAATTTCTGATGGAAAAATGGTTACTGGAAGGGTCCTTGGCTGATTTTGAGGTACCACCCAGAAAATAAAGGACTCATCTTGGGGCTTGTTTCTGCAGTTTTAAAAGCCCAAAGTATGAAATGGTACAGACATACTGAGTCAAATGTGTAAATGTGAATCAGTATGTGTCAATATCACAAAGATTGCATTATGAAATATTTCAAATTTTGCTGCCCTGAAATCACATTGGATGCCTGATATCTGTTTGTTATGTTTCCTCTAGAAATATTGGACTTTCATAATTGTAACCATCTCTTCCCACATTCTTAAAGGGACATTATGTAACATTTCTATCATGATTTTTTGCACCAAAAATTGAAAAAATATTGCAAAAATGAAAAAAATGTGTTTCCATCTTTAATAATTTTAACATCCCCGTAAGGCATCATAGTTCTATGGCACCTCTACTTCCTTAAGGGCACATATGACCATAAAATTTTGTATCGTCCATATTGGGGGCCCGCAAGCCCTTTTCCGTAGAGCGTAATCTGCCATTTTAATCCTACGTAGAGTGTAGACGGACCGCTCTAATATTTTTGCGTAGAGCGTATTCGGCGTTTTAATTCTACGTAATGTGTTGTAGCCACTTTTTATCGTAAAGCGTAATCGAGAGGTTTCCGAATTCAGCGTAGAGCGTTGTCGGGACCCCCCCTTGCAGGCCCTCCATAATGCATTTCTAGTAACGTTACATATCACACTATTCATTTTACCACCAAGCTTCATATTATTGTGGTTGAATGTGTTTATAATTGATATTTCAGGGAGGAGAAAGGTGTGTGTTTCCTGTACATGAAGACTATAGAGCGAGCGGCGTTCCCAGGCAGACTGTGGGAGAAGGTCAAACTGTCCAGGAACTATGAGAAGGCTCTACAACAGATCAGCGACAACCTCATCTACTGGCCCTACTTCATCAGGCAAAAAGTCAGAGCACCTTTATTTGGGACCTTTGATTTTAACCTTAAAAAAGCCAGCATGTTGGCAGCACTTCGGCAGAACGTACTGCGCCTGCGCAAAGGAATTTTGATTGTTGCAGACGAAATCTTGTCCAAAATGGACACAACATTTGAAAAGTACTGTACAGACGGGATGCTAGATACACACCTAAACCAAATATAATTTAATGTTCTCTGAATTATTATGGTTAGTATCTTTCTTTCATTCATTCAGCAGTAGGGCTGACATCAATTATAATTAAGATTTTATTCAACCTCATTTTGTAACCACGATGACTTCCAAAAAATTTGTCTTCACTTTATTTGCATATCAATCAAGCGGTTGTGCTTATAAACCTGTTTTCCCCTCTGGTCTCTCAGTCACTGACGAAAGCTAGTGGATACTAGCTGAAACGTCTGACGTTTTCAAAATCATATCCAGTTGCTTGAGTAACTGCTTTTTGGCGTATCGTATTACCTGGATGTCTAACCTTCATCGACGCACGATGACTTGTAGTTAATTTGTAATTTTTTTTTCTCCAGTGTAAGCAGAGGTTCACAAAGATCACCCAGTACCTGATCAGGATGAGGAAGTTGACTCTGAAGCGACAGAAAAAGCTGGTTCCTCTCAGTCGGAAGGTGGAGAAGAGAGAACGGAGGAAGGAACAGAAGGCTCTCGTCGCTGCACAGGTGGAGAACGCCATCGAAAAAGAGCTGTTGGAAAGACTTAAACAGGTAACATGTCTAGCTTCTTTCATTAGTCAATTTGAATGATATAAATTATAATACATGTTGAATGTTATTGGCACAGCAAAAGTACAGGACAGCTATATGATATCTTTTGTAACTCAAGATACACAAATGTATCAGCAATAATCTTATTATAATTACAAACCTAAATACATGTACAACAATTCTAAAATAACATGTAGCTGTATTATTTTTCATAACGTAACTCATTTAGAAAAATGTTTCAGGAAAGCTGGTCTTGTTTTGAATGGTTTTATAGTGAATATGATTTCTATATACTTAGTTACATTAGTTATTATTGTACCTCTCTAGATTATATTGAAACTGCCCTTTTTTCTTGATAGAATTAACAGTGATACCTTTTGCAAGCTGGCTTACTATATATAGATTTCCACTCATAACACCTTAAATTGAAAAACAAATACCAAGTCCTGACAACTTGAACCTTCTGTACCTACAGGGCACCTACGGTGACATCTACAACATCTCACAGACTGCCTTTGACAAGGCCCTGGAGGAAGAAGAGGTGTCTTCAGAAAGTGAAGCTGAGGAAGAAAAAGAAGGAGAAGAAGAAGTTGAAGAAGAGATGGAGGAAGAGAGTGAGGCAGAGGTGGAGTATGTGGAAGACTTTGAGGAGAGTGACATCTCAGACATTGAAGATGGAGATGACAAGTTTGCAGAAGACTCCACGGATGAGGACGATAAGAATGAAGCAGAAGAGAAGGGCAGAGGGAAGTGGAGACCAGGACTGAGGAGGAAACGAGGGAAGGTGGAGATTGAGTATGAAGAGGAGAGAGAACCTGCAAAAAGACAGGCTGTTAGACTGCAACAGTAGCAGGAAATATAGCTGGGAAACATTTCTGACAAAATTGGACTTAGCAACAAAATCTCTGTACAAATACTTTTTATTGTGAACAAGATGATGCCATCATCATGTGCAAAGAAACAAATTACTAATTAAGACAAAGAACACAGTAGCCCTAGTTATGTTTACCGAAGGAAAACATAATTGTATTCTTATGTCTTCACATGTTTTCTGAACAACCTTGTATCACTATGATGTACAATTTCAAGTGACCTGGTTTCATTTAGAAGTGAAGTACATGTGTCAATTTTGTTTCCTGTGTATTACTTTGAATACAGAAGTTATCGTTCACTGCATTAATAAAATGTACATGCATAAGTTGGAATACTTGATTTTCAGACTTTCATTGTCCTACAATGTGAAACTTCAATTATCATAGATTTGCTTGCTGTATATTTACATACTTGCAGTAAATTAAAAGTACAGATGTTATCATTTATGGCATTACCAAAATTTACTACTAAAAATTCTAATGTTCTACAATTTCATCTCCCAATGTACATTGTGTAGGCAATGATCACAAATTAGTACATGTACATGCCTTGTGATATCCACCTACATACTTGTCTGTGTGTGGTTGATTTGCATACATATTCAGCAGCAATAAACTCTTACCATGGATGTCTACATTGTCACTTTAGCCATGTTTATGTAAATACTGTTGTGCATTGAAATTTTCAACATGGTGCAAAAAAAGATATTGGGAAATGATAATTACATGATGAAGTGTATTTCTCAATCTTGTGAACTTCCCAGTGATGGTATTCTATGATCCAATACCCTTGTCCTTACACAAGTAATTAATCAAATTACCATCATTAAGGATCGATCACTTAGTTATCACTTAGATTATCTTGAAGTAGGGATTATGTTTCAATTTCAGTGAAATTATTACCACATTTTACCTTACGAAATTATTGAGTTTTTCTGATCTGCTGAGCTTAAGTCTTGAAGCTGTGAAAACCATAAATAATTATTCAAGAAAAGACGAGCTATTTTCTGATGAATAGCAGTGGGGTTTAGTGCTATTTGTCATAAATAAATATGTGAAAAAAAACAATTTTCTTAGAAGAAAAAGTACTCTCCAATCAGAGGTTTGGGTTTTAGCTTATTTTTTGGGCGTTTTTAGGCATTTTACCTTGGTTTCTTTTTTGCACTGGATTTTTTTTACGCCGACCCCAAAAAATCCAGTGCAAAAAAAAGAGACCCCCTTAAAAAAACTAAAAATGAGCCAAAACCCAAACCTCTGCTTGGAGAGTAAAGCGGATGCTAGTATTCCAAGTTTGTTGTCAGCCCCACACCTCTTCCCACCTGCAATGGTGTCAAATCTCGCAGAATCTCGCGAGATCACACCTGTTGTGATCGATGATTTATCCCTATGTAATTTCACCCAACCATTTCCAGTGCTCAGTCAGTCACAGACGGCGGTGTGTGGTAGCGTAGTCATTCCTCACACATATTCCCACAACAACGGGGGACAATTCTACTTCCTTTTGGAACTAACTAGACATTAGCTGCTCGCGTACTTGCCGTTTTCAATTAGAAATGGATTCAGAAGCTGTAGAAACAGGTGTCAGTGTGGAGGACGCACCAGCCGGGGTGCCGGAAGTGAACGGAGACCTGGGCAGGGGTGAGCCCGATGGCCTGAGCGAGCCCGACCGGGCGGGCGAGTCCAGCGTTCCCGACGGAGTGATGACCGGCAGTTCGCCGCCCAGATCACCGGCGATAGAAGACGTCCCCGACCCGAAAGAAGCACGGGAGATGATCCTGACGGAGCTGAAGACAGGACAGCCGAGAGCGAGTTTGAAAAAGGTAAGCTGCGTGGCAGACAGGGTGGATTATATTCATCCATCTGGTACAGGTGGTTCCGAGCACTATTCTGTGGCTGTACTACAGACCTCAAGAACCGTGGTACAGGCCATACTTCGCGTTGTCTGATAGGGAAGTACTTTTACACAGAACACTGGGGCCATTGTTACTATCTGGGCCGTCCTTTCATGACGGTACAAGGCTAGAGACAGGTCTGGTTGGTTGCCGTGCCTTAAGGCCAGCACAGGTGAGTTTTCACGGTACAATAGATGTTTTGGTATGCCGGAACCCTCCAGACTAATTACGACCGGCTTGTTACTGTGTGGTCTCGTCACTGTAGCTGCTTAAGGCACAAGAAAGTATTACAAAGGCAAGATTTTAACGTTGCACTAAAAGTTGAAGATGCGTCTTCCAGCATTGTATCGTGTGTACACCCATCCACCTCGCTTAAACTATACAAAACTTCCCAACAGGCATAAAGATAAAGTATAAAACGTTATTGAAAAGCAAAACAGGGATTTTGTCCGAGTTTTCCCACATGCTACACGAAGCGAGATTATGAGGTGAATAACCAGGCTTGAGTGGGCTTAGTGGGTGTGTTCGTTTGCGCTGTGCAAGCACAGGTTACCGTTGGTTTGAATGGGGATTGGGTTACGGGTCAGGATGGACTAAAGTACCTGTTTTGGCCAAGCTGTTTTGACATGAGAGCTTGGTTGTTGGACGAGTTTCCGATGTACGATTGACTACACATGAGCCCAACTTTCCGGTACATAGGCACGGGCTCTGTCTACAAATGAATGGGCAATATGGAACAGTCAACAGAATTCTTTACGCTATGTTTCAATTCAGATATATATATGTACTCCCAACATACACCTTACAGTCCTCAACTTTTGTACTACTATTGAATTTCATCGAATAACTGTCTTCAATGGTATGAAATGCAGTTCAGGTTATGCATGAATGAATCAAGTGGAACACAATTCTGGCGAAAGAAAATGTAGACGGGTCCATTTGAAGGCAGATAACCAAAAAAGTCTGTCTTTGAATGAAGAGTCACATAACTGAGGTGCCACCAATATTTTTGACACTACGTGCTTGTTTTTTGGCTTCAGATCACTTACAAAATTTGAATAGATTTGGATCAATTATGATCTACGGTTTCTAAGGATCTGAAAGGAAAATATCCATGCATAAACTCACTATACGATTTTGTAGTCATTCAGTAGCCTCTACCAGGCTTCGGGAGGCGGCTGGAAAGAGTAGAAATTGGCCAAATAGAGAGATAACATGCCGAGGGAGTTGGTCCGCTCTAGAGTATACAGTTTGCCGCTCCCGAACTGTACTCTAGAGCGGACCAACTCCCCTGGCATGTTATCTCTCTATATTTGGCCAATTTCTACTCTTTCCAGCCGCCTCCCGAAGCCTGGTAGAGGCTAGTCATTCAGAGAAGAACGACATATACATGTGTAGCCTGACTAGGCCTTGGTGCGTACTCTGATCTTCCCTAGCTAAAGTTTCCCTCAAAGCAGCCAGTAATCGACCTGTCCATGTGACAGACTTATTTACTGAGCCAGTATTGACTGACCTCAGGTCAACAGCATTGGATACACATTCAAGTGTCCCTGTTGACTGAATACCAATAGACCACGTGTTAGTAAACACAACATGCATAAGTAACAGAAAAACAAACAAACACACACATACATATGTAGTATCACGTAGTTTATTAAACTGCTTTCAGTATCCATTCCTTTTCTTTTCTTTTTTGTTAAAATCCAACGACATGCCATATTTCAAAGACAAACAATGAGAACGCCAAGATAAGAAAATCGCCTAGATACTTCACTGAATTCTTATTCTTCTTCTGTCGGCCGCTAGACGGATTATGATAGTTTCAACGTCTTCAAACAATAGGACATAATACTAACACAACGTATAATAGGTATCATCGGTTATAACAGTGAGGTTACACTAGTAAATTTACAGATATTCTGACACAACTTACACGTTAGGCAACACAGACATGTTATTGAGTACTTGTAACAGATGAAACGGTAGCACTTCCAATTTAACGGGGAGTTAGTCACGTAAACTAAAACGTGACATTAGCGCTAAGCGTGCAAGCATGACAGAAATGGCGTTCACCTAAGGCCTCAGTAAGTAATTTTTATGGATTACATCTCCGCCTGATTTTGGAAAAAAATTGTTGCCTTCTGACAGTGGTCACCATGCCGAAAATGGGCAAAGATGCCTGTGGAAGGTGGATGGCAGTTAACTATGAAGAGAGGAAACAAGAAAATGCTCTGATTTAATGTTTTGTTTCTTACTTTGATACAGTGATATGCGATGCTGGCCGTGTATATGTGATGTTCCCACTGAATAAAAACCATTTGTACAATGATTTTAAGTCAAAATTAAAAAAAAAGTGTAGGAACCTTGTATTTTTCGGCCCGCCTTGTTTTTTTTTCGCCCTGTCGCATTAGATTTGGAGTCTGCGGAGGATGTCATCCATAAAATTTACTTGCTGTGGCCTAAGCGTGGCGCTGAGTCATTGGATGAACGATCACGTTTAAAGGTTTTCACGTTGCCAAGCATCAAGAACACTCAGACAAGAGAAACACGCTGAAGCAATGAATTATTAATTCATTAGCGAATGTGGACTTCAAGATGAAGCATAAAATCAAAGTACTAATGATTTTAGACAGGCTGGCTGAAAGGCACTTTGACAGGAGGTTTGAAATCGCTCTGTATACAGCGACAGACGTATTTTGAGGATGACAAATTGTTTGTTACGGCTGTTAATAGCATTCCTGGCATCATTTAGGGAGAAGCGTTTAATATCGCGATCGGCCACCGAAATAGTCACAGCGAATTTCGTTTAGGTCAAACGCATACATACATACATACATACTATACATACATACATACATAGAACTTGTAGGTATCACTGTAGACGTGAGAGTAGATGTTAGCTAGATATGCAGTACTGAAGAGTTTGCCATGCATTGTACCCGTTACAATTGTTGTGCAATAAAGATTGACTTCTTCTTCATACGCACACCATACATTCATGACAACCTACATTAGAATTCTACGTACTAGTAATACACCAAGGAAAGAAAGCGGCAGTTACTTTTGATATGGTAGTAGGGGATACACCCATTCTTTTTATGGTCATTGATAGATGGTTTAGGAAATAGTGACCTGAATAAGGGCGTGAATATGTTGCCACAATAGAAGAACAAATATTCGTCACACTTCACAAAGTTACACCCATGTTCACATCGCCCTAACAAAGCAACAAGAACAAAACGCATCCCGAGTCCAATACTGTATCTAAAATATGATTCGCTGTTGTTCTTCTTGTTGACAAGGAGCCTATAGTTATCAATATGGTGTTTGATTCGTGTTATCGGGTGTTTGCCGACCACTGGCAAACTTGTTGACGCCCTAGGCTAGCTGACCACTTAACAAATGACAGCGTCAGCTTTTCAAATGACTCCACAATGGTTGCTCTTACATAGTCTCTACCAGACTAACTACGCTGGCTATATATAGGAGACTATTTGCCAGGGGAGTTAGCCGCCTTGGGATTTGACTGGCCTTCTAAGGGAAAAAAAAACCTTACGCGGTCGGACTCCCTTGGCCAAATTTACTTAGCCTCTACCAGGCTTGGGGAGGCGGCTGGAAAGAGTAGAAATCGGCCAAATAGAGAGATAGAGAGGCTAAAATTTACAAGTACTCTCCTTTTTGCGATCCGTATTCCAGTAGAAAGGCCTAGTGGAGGCTAGATCTTACCCCGATATATCTGGCACTTTTCTTTTACCTATTAGGACTTGTAATGAAACATAAGACAAGAAGTTGCATTAATTCCGTGGTTTATATAATATTGTATCATGCATATGATTGCATGTAAATGATGAGCCTTAGCTTGCTTTGACATTTCATGATATTGAGAGTTCGCGATCGGTTAGCATTTCAAGAATTCATTCTTGATGTTAGAGGTTGATGACATTTAGAGTCACCAAGGCCATTAAAATGTCATTGAACTAGTTACAAAAAACCTGCCCTGCCTTCGGCTGACTTTTGAATCTATTCCACTTGATCAGTCCAAATAGAAACGGCAAATATACTCTGTTGTTATGAACATCAATAACGCATTTGATAACACGCCACACCCAACAAATATCGCATACTACCTGCTAAAATTAGAAAATTATATCGCATCTCCACAATGCAAAAACTAGCATATTTTGGTTTAAATAATGTACTAATTTTGTATTTTTAAAGTTGAAACTTTTGGTCCAACACAAAAAATTCTCTCACCTAGAGCTTTCGACCAGTCACTCTGGTCTACCTCAGTAGACTGACAGTGAAGCTTGTCACGTGAAGTGTGACACTAATTTTGTCCTTTTTTTCTTTGCCTTCCCTCGCAGTATCAGAAACCATCGAACACATTTGTGGTGGGACCTTGAACAAGAGACGTGCCAAGCGGGTAGTGAGAGAGCAGCAAACGGACCTTTCCTGGCCTTTTATCACATTTATTCAACCACAAACAGAGACGCCAGACATGTGCAGCGATCAACAACTCAAGCCGGATCTAGGATAGGAATATAGTGTTTGCTGTATCTAACTTTAGAACAAAAGTACACTTTTGCTCAAGTAAGCAATATGATATGGGTGGAGAAGAAAAGGGTATTTTTGAGTACGGGAATAAGTATTTTGTTGGTAGTGTGTACATATTAGAGTACTCCATTCGCTAATATGAATCTTAGTCTCGCTTAAACTGCAGTATTCTATGTAAACTTCACGGTGTATTTTGTTATCCAATAACATCGTTTTACTTTTGCGTCTGTTGTGGCCAACACAGCTGTCTTTGTGCAACGTTCCAGCTATCCTTGCCACCAGAAAGAACTCCATACATTTCCTAGATGAAGAAGAATGTTATATATGTTGGTGTCAACTTCGTTGAAATGCATTCTTAATAGTCTAGTGTATGACTAAGTGCCTCAAATGCAGCACATTATCTTTGTAAACTACTGTGTAAGTAGTGCACATAAAAGACCAGAGGCCACAAGACCAGTGTGAGAATGTGAGAAAACGCCACCATGAGCACGTAAAGCTAACTTGTAACTAAACAGCATAAACATTTCAACATCACACTGTTGACTGACTTGGCGATGTATTATTTATCTTGCCCTTGGTCTCAGAGTCCAAATCGTGTACAATGTACATATGCTCTGCAGTCTTGCAGATACATTTGTGGTATTATTTTCTCAAAAGAGCTACTGCAGTGAAATATTTGTTCTAACTTGATGAACGTTCGTGATAACATGATATATGCCACTGTATAAGGAAGGAGAAGAGGTTTCCACTTATTTTAAGCCTGCTATCTTGTCTTGTAGTTTCCAGGGTCTTTCACCAAACACAAAAATCTATGAAAAGAAGGAAGTGGCATTGACATGTTGGTGACAACAGAAATGCATTCATTTGTAGATTACGTCAATGAAGGTTAACTTACTAACTAGAGAGGCCAACATTTGCTTCGGAGCAAATGTAAAATATTTCACTCCATGTTCCTCCCCAAATAAAAATGGAATTATCGAGATACACAAAAAAACTTGAGTGGAATACCTTTAAATAGCAGTTAAATAGTCACCTGAATATCCAATGCCTGGATATTAGGAAAGTGTGTATTGTACTATGTGTACATACAAGGGTGTACAAAGTGTAACTATTCTTCTAGCAGATACATGTTACAAAATACAGAAACAGTTCTAGTGATAAATTGCAAAATAAAGACAATCACAAATAGATGTAATTTCTCAGATGATGTATTTGATGTTCCCTTGTAACATTGAGGTTTTGTGAAAACTTATCATTTTGTAATCACATCAACACATTCAACAAAAGTGATATTACAGCAATTTTACATTTTAAACCCTAACCCTAGAACTACTAGTACACTATAGTATGCTATACAGGGGAAAATACAAATGTACATGCTTGTACTTAACTTATACTCAATGGACTATGATAAGGGATGTGTATTATTGGGTAATATGTAACTTATTTTGTGGTAAATTAAACATCCTAAATCCCATTGAACCTGTGTTGCCATCTTAATTTTTCATAGGCTGAAATATTTTTTTCACATATATACTTCAACCTTTCCACACACAAAATGTTTGTCCAAAAAGTAGGACAACCATCACAAAAGATGATTACATCAAAATTGCTTTATAGGTCATCCCCACATGGCAATTTTCATTCATTTTCTTCACCCTACAAAAGCTTAACTGCTCTTGTAGTGGTGATTTTGGATTGCCCTGACAGAATTCAATCCAATTTGTACTTCCATTTGCAAATATTGGGCCCGGGGCCAAATACTAATGTGACAATAAATTGTGCCAATTGTCAGACCCCCCCCCCCCCCCAGGACTCATTGCTTCTTAGCCTGATTTCTGACTAAATATGCTGAATGCTGAGTAGAGTGAGTCTGTGTGGTGTAGTGGTAGAGCATCCGACTGTCAAGGTTCAATCCCCAGGGTTGGACCCAGACATGCGCCCAGACATTGTGCCCTTGGGAAAGACACATATTTCCCCCTCAGTTAGAGGGATCCTGGGCCCTACTAGGGTTTTGGGTTGACGTTGGGAAGGGCATCCAGCCTTTAAAAAAATCTTGCTTCAAAAAACAGTTACGGTATGCACTTGATGCAAGCACGTCTAACCCCCAGTTTCGGGAAAAAAGACATTAAACTGGACAGAGAGAGAGAGAGAGAGAGAGAGCATAAAGATGAAAACCAACAAAATTTGAGCATAAAAAATGCAGTAATAGACCAAGGGCGTGTTGAATGCATTAACGACCCAAGCAATCACCAAGCAGATTGATTTTCACCCCAGTTCCATTATCCTGAATTGAAATCTTGATTAGGCACTTAGGACATACACATGGTGAGGTTTGTCATGAGCAACACTGCCTGTTATAACAATCAATGTTCCTTCACAATGTGTCACCTTCAATTATTATGGAAATGGCAAGCAGGCTTTCAAGAAAATTGTCATCATACCAATTTCACAGATATTTCAGCATGCAATCATACATGTAACATCTGTGTCCATAATATCACCAGGGTCCATAATATCGCCACCTTGAGAAACAGTGTGCTTAAAGATATTTTTACTGCAACATACTTTTGGTATGCACTCCTTCACACATCAAATGTACATACCTAGGGTATGTTGCAGTAAAAATATCTTTAAGCACACTATTTCTCAAGGTGGCGATATTATGGACCCTGGTGATATTATGGACATGGATGTTACATACAATCAGAAACAGAAACATACAATGCCTGAATATATATTGGCAGATTTTTGACAGTTGCAAATGTTTGCGTTTTTTATATGCTGAACACAACACAGAATGAAACTTCCAATAATCTGAACTTATTCAATTTTTCTTGATATCCGAAGACAAGAATTTGTTAAACTTTGTACTCTAATTCTAAACAGCTGCCTTGCTTCCTGTACCAAGCAGGGCTCTCTCTGCCATTTGAAGTCTTCTTCTCAACTTCTGAGCTATCTCATCCTCCATCTTGGATCTCTTCTTCATAAGGAAGTGACTCATAAAGAGTCTCAGACCGTCTCGGAACTGCTGGAGTTTTGGGAACTTGGCCACGCGGGTAAAGACAGCCTGGACGGTGTTCTCTTCCTGTTCCAGTAGCAGGGCTAGCAGGATCTGTCGTAAGAACTGCACTGTCGCTTTCTCGAGGGAAGCAAACTCAAATTTCTGTGATATAAGAAAAACAAGAAACATAACTAAGACTAAAAAAAATTTTAAGATAACATTTGCAAATGCATAATGTTTACCTTTGCATATGGTTTGCTCTTCTTACTCAAATACATGTACATTTATATATATGGTCAGACAGGAGTATAAATCCTTCCTAATGATAAAATTGCAACATTATGTAGCCCAACACCAGTTACCATATGGTGACAGACATCAGGAAATCAGGCCATTGGCCAGGTCAGAGGTTAGTGTTTGGAACAAAAGAAGAAGAAAAGTAGTAAAAACAATATGTTTTCCTTCTGTAAACATAAAAAAGTGAATCTTTAACTACTAGTGTCTCTTGAAATGGAAGATAACTTCATATTGTTTGTACCTATTGTCATAAAATGTTTGCTTAAATGTGTGCTCACACAGATAAGATAAATTGTTGAAGGGATGTACATAAGATGATACAGCAGTCTTTCATGTCTAGTTACTTATTGTTTATATTACCCTCAAGTGCTGGTGAAAGAGCACTGGGAGATAAACATGTTATCATGATCTTTGTGAGCTGTTGTTCCGAAATGGATCTGAGAAAAAAGAATAGAACACATCATTTTAGATCAAGTATTAAATTTGTTTGTCCTTGTTGCTGTTGTCAAGGCCCAGGGAAAGAAAAATGTTGTGTTTCCTGTTTCAGTCCTGAAAAAAGTCAGAGTTGGTAGGTAGGGATCATCTATTTCCCCTTTTTTTCAGACTTTGGTGATCTCTAGTCATCCAACCTACAACAATACAGTTTAAGAAAAGAAAACTTGTGGCACATTTTTAATGTCAATGTTGTTGGAAAACTGATTGTTCAACGTTTCATCACTCATGCAGGTGTCAGGTCATGGAGCTAGAAAAGTTCAATCAGCTCAAAAATTTATGTCCTTTTCAGGGGTCGACAAAAAAAGACTAGGGTCAGCAGTTTTTTCTAGGGTAGGTCGGGAAACAGGAAACACAACATTTTTTTCTAGGGTCGGTAGGGAAACACAACATTTTTCTGGTCCCAATGATGCTGAATGTGGAGAAACACACAATAAATATGTCTCACCTTCAGCACTGACAGTGGAATCGCCATGGTAACCAACAGGTGTGTCACCAGCTGGGCCAAGTTAGAGGAATTCTGGGAAGACAGGCTGTCAATCACAGCAAACCTGTCCCACAGACTGAACTGAATGGTCATCTATGGAAAAAAGAAGGTCATATCTCAGCATAGCATGCATAAGTCTGTAGTCTTTGAACTTAAAGGTACCCAAAGCAATATAAGGTCCATGAAACTGCCAAAAACAATTTTCTGGTCATTTTTTTATGTAGTACGTTGAGTTAGCATGATAGCATACTGATACCTGTGAGGTTACTTGTTTCATTTTGTAAGCTAGCTATTTATTGGTGGTACCAGAAAATAAAGAGACTCCTCACAAGCTTGTTTTGGGACTATTTCAAATGCTTCAAGGAAGAAATGATGATGGAAAATGTGCGAAGAATGTGCAAATAATATCAGACAGATGTCTTCATCTAGAATATTTTCTTGTTTTGCCACTCTTGAATTTCATGCAAGCATTGTAAGGATAGTTACAACAAGGTAGGCTCACCATAAACCACCTGTAAAAGTCACAGAAAATGTGCTAAGAAATCGCATTAAGTGTCAATATCATACTTCAAAAGTAATCTGGATGAAGAAATCTGAAACAAATTGTTTTGCCACTTTCAAATTGCATGCAAGGATAGTTACAACAAGGTAGGCTCACCTGGGCTCAAAATTAAAGGTGGTCCGATGGCAACTTACCACTAAATT